CATTCCTCTTGCAATGCCTAGGTGACCAAAGAGTTGAAGGGGCGATTCTCTGTATAAAATTATTTCCACTAATTACATTAAGAAGGAATGATAGAACATCAGTATGAATGTTTTTCAACACCTAAACTAATAGATCTAGGATAAAACTTGTAATCATTTGTAGTTTAGTAATTTATAATAGCACCATCACAAAAGACAGGCAACCAGATTTTATGTACTTACTTATAGAATTGCAAACCAAAACCAAGAGTAGCCTTGCCAAAAAAATAATCAAATCTGTACATGATGAAGCCTCTAGCACAACCTACCAATTTACAGGAACAACAGGAGACAGAGTAACATGTTTTAAAAAACCCAAAGGGGAGAGTCAATAAAATTCAGACTCTGGGAAATGATGAAACAGATGACTGGTCTCAACAAATATTAAAGGAAAAGAAATTAAGATCCAGATCTGGAGCTAGAGACAGCAAGAAAATGAAGAGGAAGAGAAAGAACCTGCAAATAAGGAAATTTGAGTAACAGATCAATATAAGGACTTTTTAAAAATAACTCTGGCAAATAATTTTTGAAATAAATAATGAGGTAAAATAAGGACACACACACAAAAAGAACAATTTTTTTTTTTAAAGATTTATTGAAGCTGGGGATCGAACTCATGCTGCAGTGTCTGTGGATAACTTTATAGTGCTGTCCTAACCCCTTGCGCCACCAGGGAGGCCCCCATATATAAAGTTTAAAAAAAACAGAAATAGTATTGTAAAATTTATCATCAAGGCTTTAAAATACAAAGATGAAAATCAATGTAATCATTAAGATGTCAAAATTCAACACTATTATTATGAGGCTGTGATTCCATTTGATTGCCTTCCATTCTGATTTTTATGATATTTGAAACAATTATTGTAAATATCTCTGATGAGATGCATAAGTCACTTATGTGAGATAAGTTTTCATTGAAATGAGCTATTTATATAGAAAATTATGTATCAATATTTTCACAGAAAAAATACTATGATAAAAAAACAGGTATATTTCCAGAGATGAACAGGTAAAATGAATACACACCCATTACATAAAAACTTTAAAGCTTTTTGAGAACTTTTTCCTCAGTTCTTCACAGACCAACTTCTTTTTGAGAACTTTTTCCTCAGTTCTTCAGAGACCAACTTCACGTTCATTTGGAAAATTGTAACAGCAGATTTAATAGTTACATATTTTAATATGAATGGTAACTTTTAATATGAATGGTAACTTTTAATCTTTGAAATTTGAAATATTAGAAACAGTGTTGAAAAGTCACACGTCACACTGCATAACCCACAGGCCATATTGGGGTGGCAGAGAAAGCAAAATATACAAATGAACAAAGAAGTTGAATGAAAATTATATATCATTATGATGAAAACCTAGTCACCTGCTGTGCTGTCCAATATAGTACATGTGATAATTTAAATTTAAATCAATTAAAGTTAAAATTCATTTACTCATCCACACAAGCTGTATTTCAACTGCTCGATGCCACCTGTGCCAGGGCTACCACATTGGCTAGCAGATACAGAGCTCCACCCTATCATTTCTACTGGACAGCACCAAATACAGCATCCAACCAGTGACTGTGTGTTCCCTGTATGAATACTTATTATTTTTTGAGTTACAAGTTTAAAGACTTTACTCCCTTATTACATCTTCTTGATTTCTCATAAAAATATGAACACTTCTTCATGTTAAATTTTTATCGAAGATCTGTTGTTTTGTTCCACCTATAAAGATCCATGCAATGAAAAAAAGAAAAAAATTTTCTTTCCTAAAAAGAATGGATCTATTTCATCAGATGCAAACTATATATCTTTATTTCCCTCTTCCCTATAGCGATGAGAAAACCCATTATTAAAGCTCAACTGCTTTAAACTATTAATTCAAGTTTTGAATAAATGTGGTTTTCTACCATGATAAAATTTTTGGTATTACTCTAATTTATTCTAATTACATTATCATCAAAAAACCCAAATTCCTTTTGCAGATAGGTGGAACATATTTAGTGATTTTATATGACTAGAGCTCTACTGCCCTCTTTGTTTCAATAAAATAAAAATTCCAAGCAAGAAGCTATAACCAAGTAAAGATATTTTCAATAATAAACATAATAAAAAATCTGTAACATCAACATATCATATACATCAATGCCAAAAAACTATTTTATAAAATTAAGCAATTTTCTTAACAAAACTAAGGTAATTAAAAAAACCTACTGAAATATGAGAATTACCAAAATTTAATCATAAACATATTAATTGATAAGCTAACATTTCCATTAAAATCAGAAATAGGGATATCCCACATCACCACTATCATTTAACATTGTTTTGGTCTGTGTAGCTAATGCAAAACTTTTTTTTAAAAATCAAAGCAATGAAAATATTGAAAGATGTATCACATTTGTTTTCAGAGTGATATATCTAGAAAATCCAATTATCTGTAACACCCTTGAAACTAATATGTTTAAGGTAAGTAGATGTGAAGTATAAAAAAGAATTTCTAGGGCCTCCCTGGTGGCATAAGGGTTAAACACCACACTATGAAGCAATCTGCAGCCTTTGCAGCAAGAGTTCGATCCCTGGTCAGCCAAAGAGAAACCCACAAGGTGCAGCAGACCTCTCCCATCTTGCCCGCTGCTCCCCTCAGCAGTGTATTTCATCCAGTCTGCCTATTCTGTTCCCCACTCTGTCTCTGGTGAATCCTCTCACCTACCCCCCCATCTCTGATCTGTACCCCAGCTCTTCTATGCATGAATAAATCTTAAGAAAAAATTTTTTTCTATACCTTTTCTATATGAATTACATGGAAGCAAAATTACGTTGTTATGTAATTACATTGTTATGCAATCATTATTGTTATAATCATGTCATTGTTCACAATGAAAGAACAAGCTTCAAAAAGTGGTATTTTTGTTGCTCAAATGCCACACCTTTCTTACTTACAGAGGGAGAATCTAAGTGTCATAAAATTAGTCTATAAACTCATGTATTCTATGGGTAGGATTTGGCTTCATTCGTATATAATCCATTTTTCTTATTTGTAAAGAACCACAAAAATGTTCAAAAAAAAAAAAAACTAACAGGGAGAATAATCCCCTACTAATATGAATGGATTTTCTGTTGTATTAAACTCACATATTCAGAATCTAGTTTGAAAAGCATTTTTCACATCAGACAATTAGTTTAAATTATTGAAAAGATTTAACAAAAGTCAAAATGTCCAATTAAACTGTAAAAATTTCTAACAACCCTTGGGAAAAATGCCATATTTAAATCAATTTTCTCAAGATGTAAGCAAGTCAAAGAAAAATTTAAAATACTGTAGTATCAATTAAAAATTAACAATAGTATAAAGATGAACCCATACCCCATTGAATGCAAGAAATGCTTGTCATGAGCAGGACTCTACTGCCCTCTTTTGATTCAAGAATGAAAGACAACGCAAGTGCCACTTGGGGTACTTCCAAGAATGAACTGAAAGGTAATGAATGGTTTGAGGAGCTTGTTTTCCAGCCAGGTGGAAACTACTACAGCAGAAGGCCCTTGTCTAAATGCCTTCCTTTACTTTTTGTTGTAACATCATTTTTTTGTTGAATAAGGCTGACATATTCTTTTTTAAAAAAGGGTTTTGATTTGATTATTGCTGAAAATTTAGATGTGAGAGTAAAAAAATGTAAAACCATAAATTTAGGGCATGTTTTTGTTATGATTCTGATTATTTTGGTAAGCCTAAGAATAAAAATATGAGTTTCCAGTTTTAATATTGGTTATTCAATCTATCCTGCTTTAAAATCCAATGATGGGCCTCCCTGGTGGCGCAAAGGATTAAGACGTGGCACTATGAAGCTATTGCAGCCACTGCAGAACGAGTTCAATCCCCTGCCAGGGAGATGCCCACATGGCGCAGCAGACCTCTCCTGACTTGCCCGCTGCTCCCCTCAGCAGTGTATTTCAGTCAGAATGCCTGTTCTGCTCCCCACTCTGTCTCTGGTGAATCTTCTCATCCCCAACACCTCTGGTCTGTACCCCAGTTCTTGTATGCATAAATAAATCTTTAAAAAAATCCAATAATGTGTTAAATTAACAAAGGTAAAACAAAAATTAGGACTTCATTGTTTTGAGCCTAACAGTCATATTCCCTAAAGTGCTCTTTTTTAAAATCTGTTAAATTGCCTAAGCATACATTATGTGGCTCCCCTTAGTTTACCACCAGACTGTACCCATGCTTTCTTTGATGGACAAATGTTCCATTTTAAAGAGTCAATGTTACAGCAGAGATTAGGAGACATACCTACAGCATTTGACTTTCTAATTTAGATACACTTACTATTCCCATCCTACCTCAAGAATAGATTTACAAAAGAGGCAGAGAGGTTCCATTCTTAAGCAAAGAGTTATCTAATTATTACCAGCATTTTGATCCCCATCTCAAAAGCCACATTATTTAAGTCTTCTAAAGAACTGTTAGCAATGTTTATGTACTTCAGCCTACACTTCACATGTAAATGAAGAGGAGGATATTCTCTCAGCATCAAACTATGATTTCAGGATTGCTGGAATTCTTCAATAAGAATTGAAGAAATTGGGCCTCCCCTGGTGGCTCAGCGATTGAGCGCTGGGCTGCCTGCAGCCTCTGCAGTTCCAGTTCGATCCCCAGCCACCAGCGAGGGTCCCACATGGCAAACAGACCTCTCCTGCAGCGCCCGCTCCTCCCCTCAGCAGTGTATTTCGTCGGTCTGCCTGTTCTGTTCCCCGCCCTGGCTCTGGTGAATTCTCTTACCATCCCGCGCTTCTGACTGTACCCAGTGCTTGTATAAATAAATAAATCTTAAAAAAAAAAAAAATTGAAGAAATTATAAACTTTTTATAATAATAAAATCAAGCTTTAATGGCAAAATCAGATAGTATTGCATTTTCTCTCCAAAAATTTTATTTGCATTTTTAATAGAAAATACATTACATTTTTTATCCATTTAACCAATTATTCCTAAGTGAAATAGTAAGATTAAAAATACGTTAATAAACACTTTTAGCAAGATATACAGAATCAATTTCTTCAGCAAGTTTTATAAGAATTTGGTATAAAACAAAGTTACATACATTTCTGAAATTACAAAATTAGCTTCTATAACTGCATTCCTTTAAAGATAATGTGTCCTTCCTGTCCTGACTTAAAAACACATAAAGCCTGAAAGTAAAACTTTGATCCAAATCAATTTACTATATTGGCTATGCAACATAAAGTTCCTAAGGATATCTTTTAATAAAAGTAATAAATGTGAACATGAGGCAAACATGAGAGATGGTATCAGGTAAACAACACATTTAGAAAAACCTTTGTTTATAAAATGCCTTTGGTGTACTCAGAGAGCTATAGATATGAAAGAGCACACTCCAGCTTTATAAGTGGCACAAACACACTTATCAGTGACCTTGGAACACGGGGCTAATTTCCTGTTGGTAGATTGACCCACTGAGCTGTATTCAGACACCATCCAAGCAGTAAGACAAGTGTGAGTCCCCTGAGGTCTGGAAAGCAGACCTCCCTCATTGTGGGTGATGAAGAAAGTCTTTTCAAGATTTCTCACTTGCTACACAATTTACAGTGAAACTCTACGAGAAAGCAGGAGGCCTGATATTGTGGAGGGAGATAATGACCTGAAAGATCATAATATGGCAAAGTTCTATCAAAACCTAGATCAAACTGAAAATAATGGTCCTAACTGGAAAGCTAGATCAAGGGGAGAAAAGTGAGACACAGAAGCAGGAAAGCAGGGAATCCTTCCTCTTAATAGCTCAGAGTGTTTGGCACACATTCCAATATAAGTAAATCTAAAACTTCTTAGAGGTAGACAGATGTTAGGAATGAACTGAGTTCATGTTAAAAAAAGAAGAAAGAGGCACTGAGGAGAGGTTCTATCTTTAATGCTACCTTTTCATTACTAAAAACAATTATTATTTGTAAAGTTACCTTTCAGTAAAGTGCTCAGAAGCCAGCCATTTAAGTCCAACATTTAAAGGCTGAGACTAAGAACAGGGACACATTGTTCTACTGTGCTTCATTTTACAGTGTTGCACAGATAACTGCATTTCTTACAAATTGAAGGTTTGTGGCAAACTGGCATAGAGGAAGCCCTATTAGTGTGATTTTTTCCAAGAGTGTGGGTTCACTTCATGTCTCTGTGTCACATATTGGTAATTCTCACAGTAGTTCCAACTTTTTCATTGTTACCATGTCTATTATGGTGATCCGTGATCAGTGATCTGGGATATTACTTATAATTGTTTTGAGGCACCACAAACTGCACCCATAGCAGCCAGTGAATTTGAACGATAGACGTGTGTTCTGACTGCTCCACCAAGCAGTTGTTTCCCCCCGTCTCTCCTTTTCTTGGGTCTCCCTACTTCCTGAGACATGACAATATCAAAATTATGCCAATTACTAACCCTACCATGGCCTCTAGGAGCTCAAGTATAAGGAAGCTTCAATGAGGAAGACATGGCAAAAGCTGAGATAGGCCTCTTACATAAGCTGTGAATGCAAAGGACAAGATCTTGAAGGGAATTGAAAGTGAACATACAAATGGTAAGAAGTCAAAGCAGCCTTATTGCTGAAATGGAGACAGTGTAAGTGATCTGCAAAAAAGATCAAACCAGCTACCACATCCCCTTAATATTTTTTAGCAATAAGGTACCTTTTAATTAAAGTACATACATTTTTTTGACATACTGCTATTGCACATTTAATACACCACAATATAGTGTAAACATAACTTTTATATATACTGGGAAACAAAAAAATTTGCCTAACTAGCTTTATTGCAACATTCCCTTTGTTGTGGTGATCTAAAGCCAAACCCACAATGAAGTGAGCCTGTAGTTGTAAAGACCTTTTCAGTAAAGTGCTAAGACATTAGCCATTTCAAGGTCAAGTTTAATATTGTGAAAATGAATAAAGGAAAACCTCATTCAGAATGGAAGAGGGAAGTTCTGAAGGGGAGAGCTCTCATAAGGTCACTCAGCCGAGCTTGCAGAAGATTAAGGTTTTCTGCTGACCAGCAATGCAGCCTGTCTACCCTGTAGCCAATGAGAAGCCAAATGCCCAGCTTCTTCCAAGGACTTTCCTTCAAAACCACCCCTCCCAATATCTTCCTTTCCTCTAAATACTCCTCTTGTTTTTCAGACTTGCCAATGGTTCATCATAATTTGAGTGTTCCAAACTGCAATTCTTCATTTCTTATAAGCCCAGATTTTGTTGGTTAAACTGCTGACCTTTTGTTTTAAAGGTTGACATACCTTTCATAAAGTACCGGTTATGCTGGGTCTTTAAGAGAAAGCCTAGCTAAATTCACAGCAAGTTTATAACTTTATAACTTGTCTACATGGACCATGTTTTCTTCTCCAGTTTTTAAGCTGGAGCTCAAATGAACATCCCCTGGAGTTCCATGACTCCCTCAGTCAGAGGTAATGCTCCTTCCTGGAAAAGTCCCACCACACCATGTGGGGCTGACACTGTGTTGTGCCTTGTCTCCCCACTGGGCTATGACCTACTCAAAAGGCACATCCAGACCAAGCCTGCTTCTTCACTTTTGAATCTTCAGGACGGGCCATTCTATGGGTACACATGTGTGTCCATCAGACTCTGCGTCTCAAGCAGTTAATTTTCTGTAAGGTGAACAAACTACAGTCCTCTAGTTCTTCATATGAAATTCAATAAATTATCCTACAAACCACTTTTATTGCTGCTTTTTTTTCCTCATAGAGCATTAGTCAATGGGGCAAATAACCAAGTTATGACTTTAGTCTTTCTTTTCAACCCTACTTTTTTAAAAGTCAGTTTCTTTCATTAATACATCCTTTTGCACTTATAAAAGAAATACCAGGTCACAGAAAAGCAACAAAACATATGACCCTTAATGATTTAAAAATAATAATAACTATTTCAGACACTAGGTAAGGGAAAAGTGAACATGATTGTGCTTGAACATTATTTTTAAGTACTTAACAATGAATTTGAGGATATGAACTTCACTTCAAAGACCTCCAGAAAAAGAAACATTATGAGCCAGATGAAGAGAAATAGTTATTGAAAGGAACATATTTTTGTACTTGTTTTGCTCCAATTTCTGCTACATAGATTGCTCCAGTCTTTCCACTGATGTCCAGGAGATGAGGTAAAACTTGATCTGCTAGCTGGATTGTACTGATCACAGAACAGTCACCAATTCCTCCTGCTGGTGGTGCTGCCACAAATAAGAGCCTGCTAAGATTCAGCTGAGCTATGACCAAGTACTTCCCATCAGGAGTAAATCTAAGGAGAAAAACATTACACATGATAAATGCATGGAAAATTAACATGTTTCTTTAGTTTTTTTTTTTTAAAGATTTATTTTATTTATACAAGAGCCGGGGTACAGTCCAGATGCACAGGAGGGTGAGAGGATTCACCAGAGACAGAGTGGGGAACAGAACAGGCAAACTGACTGAAATACACTGCTGAGGGGAGCAGCGGGCAAGACAGGAGAGGTCTGCTAATCATGTGGGTTGCTCCGAAGCCAGCAGGGATAGAACTGGCACTTGTAGAGGCTGCGGACAGCTTCACAGCGCTGCGCTCAACAGCCTGCACCACCAGGGAGGCTCAAATTAACATGTTTCTATCTCTAAGACTTTTCCCCCTGATAGTACTGAATAACAGGGAGCAGCTAATGATTAGAGGGTTCTTTCTTTTTTTTTTTTTTAATATTTATTTTTATACAAGAACCGGGGTATAGGCCAGAGACGGGGGAGGGTGAGAGAATTCACCAGAGGCAGAGCAGGGAGCAGAACAGGCAGATGACAGAAATACACTGCTGAGAGGAGCAGTGGGCACGACAGGAGAGGTCTGCTGTGTCATGTGGGATTCTCGCCAGCTGGCCGGGATCAAACCCACACTGCAGAGGCTGTAGGCAGCTTCAGAGTGCGGCGCTCAACCCGCTGTGCCACCGGGGAGGCCCCTGACTAGAAGGTTCTTTTGAGGAGAATTTAAATGTGACCTAATTCTGTCTATGAGGGAGCAAGAGATTTGTGAGGGTAGCCATAGCCACAGATGGGCTTAAATATTTTTAAGAAATTAATATTAAAATACAAACACAAAATGAAACTAACAGAAAATTGGAGTTAGGCTGGGTCTGACACTGCAGATGCAGATTTTGATTTTCATCTTATATTTAAAAGTTTACCCAATTTATCTTGAGGGTAAAGGCTTTGAGAGCGATCCAGGACACCTTATCTCTGAGAGTCAGATCCCAGGGAGCGCTAGCAGTTCACCTGCTTTCATGCGGCTTGAGAGCTGAACTATTAGTACAAGCTGTCTGCTTCCCTCTTAACTGTCCCTTCCTTCACCCCCTTAATTATCAATAAATTTTAAATTTTTAATTTAAATAAATTTTAAACTTTCAGCTAGCTCTTCAGAGAAAAGAATGTAAGCCAAATAAAATCAGCATTTAAAAACAAAAGCAATTACCTGACTGAAGATGGTCCCTCTTCTGTGAAACAATTATTCCATGCTCCTAACCATTCCCCGGTATCTTTATCAAATACTTGAATTCTTTTATTTCCTCGGTCAGCAACCCACACCTGAAAAACAAAAGAAATTTTTATTGGAAAAGATCCACATCATAATGAGAACGAAAAAAGCAGATGAGAAGGCAGAGAATGAAGGCTTATTTTCATTAGTTCACGTTATTTCATGTAGTCCTTACAGAACCCCAAAGGAGGTTTTTCTTTTTAAGCCCATCTTTAAATAGAAAGCTGAAGTTCAGAAAAGTTGAATGCCTTGTTTGGGAGAGCAAAAATTAAATGGCCATCCATCCACGCAAAGCCTATAATACTGTCTGCTACTCTAAACATATGAATAAAAATCTAGGGAACTCCACTATCATGCAAAGGGTTAGCAGATACTAAGAGAACCTGCATTTGTTCATTCATTCCTCTAAAAAGCATTCACTTTCCCTGAGCACTGCGCCAAGCTGTCAGGTAGTTAAGTCCAACACAAAGAAAGGCAGCCTTGCTCTTCAGAAGCTCAGGCTAGGGACAGTCATCATAATGCCTTGCCATTAAGCCCCTATCTGCATATTATCAGGGCATATTCAAAGTGCTGAACCACTCAAAGCAGCTTGAGATATTCGTTAACAGATAAAGAAGAGGCTAAAAATAGGTTTAATTTGGCTTGTTATCAACTATAATGAGTCATTGAAAAAAAAGTTATAAATCTGAAAATCATATTCACTCTAAATGATATTTCATGCACTTGATGTAAGCAACTCATGGCATGCATAAAGTAAAATGATTTTTAATGACATGCGGCTAGAGCTGTGGAGAAGGATGTAAGAATGTACTAGAAAGGCAGGCCAACCCTGCTACCCTCTACTCATCCCTTCAGGACCTTTGCACTTTTGGGGTTTGTGGATTCAGGGACCATTTTTTCAGACTAACCCTGAGTATATCTTTGTCAATGAGTGGGAGTTTTGGTAGTCACTGAATTCATCTCCACTGAAGAAAGACTGTTTCATCTCTAAGTAAGATAATTTCTTAGGCTCTTTTCTTAGGATTTTTTTTTTTTTTTAAGATTTATTTATTTATGCATGCAAGAGCTGAGGTACAGGCCAGAGGTGTGGGGGGGTTAGAGGATTCACCAGAGACAGAGTGGGAAACAGAACAGGCAGACTGACTGAAATACACTTGCTGAGGGTAGCAGTGGGTGAGTAAGGAGAGGTCTGCTGCGCCATGTGGGTTGCTCCCTTGCTGGCCAGGGGGAATGGAATTCCTGCTGCAGAGGCTGGGTACAGCTTCATAGGTTGCATCTGAACCCCTTGCACCACCAGGGAGGTCCAGGATTTTTTTTTTTTGATTTTTTTTTTTACTAAGGATGGGTTTCCTTAATGATTTGGGGATGATCTAAGAGAAAATAATCTAGGAGAAAAATATAATTCAGACCAGACAACTGAATAGCACTTTAGATTGTTAGCATTATTTTTTCCTACTTGATGGACTTTGATTATGAGAAATCTTGTTTAAGAAATAGGCCTAACTCTGAAGCTAATTAACTTTTCATAAAGGATTTGGGTGCCAATGAAATAAGTTAATCATATAAAATGCCAAATAGCATTGCTGTTATAAAAACACAAGTGTACAGTATCATTTTTCATCACTCAGTAACACCATAGTATTCCCGTCAAATGATCTTCAAGGCCTCTCAAAAGGGTATTCCTCACACCCAGCCACACACACATACACACACACACACACACACACACAGACACACACACAAACATACTTAGCTCTGTTTCCAGACACAATGACATTTTTTACCCGGCCAGTTGAATCAACTGTAACACTGTGAGGTATGTTGAACTTTGCAGGTCCTGTTCCATTTTCTCCACGCAGCCAAAGCATCATGAAATCTGTAAGTAGAAACGTACATGGTCAGAGTATTATATAGAATTCCTTATGGATATGATTATTATATTTTATGTCATAAGTTACAAAACCCCAGTTAACTCTGCTTTCCATTTATATATCCATTTCCCCAATCTTATGATTTACACACATACAAATTCCTTCTCCATTCCAATCAATCTATTTCTTTAATGATTATCTCCAGTTGAATTTTTCATCACTCAAAATCACTGTTTAGAGTTCATGTTGTCCTTACATTCAAACTGGTTATCTTCCCAACTTATGCTATTTATCATTCCTCTGAGTTAGAAAATTGACATTACTTTTATAGCCTATTTCTTTCATTATCACTTTAACAGGTTGAACTGTGGTCTCCAAAGATATAAGTCCTCATCTTCAGTACCTGTGAGTGGAATCTTATTTGGAAATAGGGTTTCTACAGATACAATTGCTAGGGACCTTGAGATAATATCATCTTGGATTTGTGGCGGATCCTAAGTCAATGACTAGTGTCCTTATAAGAAAGAGGAGAGGGAGATTTGAGACATAGACACTCAGAGAAGGAAGTCAAATGAAAATAGAGACTGAGAGTTAAGCTCCAACAAGCGAAGCAATGCCTGGACCCACCAGAAGCTGCAAGAGGCAAGGGTCAACTCTAGTGTCTTTAAAGGAAGCATGGATTCTAAAGCCTGGAAGGCAATAAATTTTTATTTTAAGGCACCCAGATCATGGCTTAAATTTGGTTATTTTATAGAATATTTTGAATTCTTGCTTTATCTCTACCTCACCTCTGTTATGTATCGTTGATACATTCAGTAAATTCATTTACTGAATGATAAATTGACTATACAGCCTACAAATGACAGACCTTACTGAAATATATCCTGATGTAGTATTGTACTGTACAAATGCTCTGCCTCTATATCATCACTTTCCTACAAAAAACTTCAAAGACGTTTCCTAAGAAAAATTACAGCTTCAAAATTCTTAGATAAGCTTACAAGGACATTCAAATCTTATTTTCCATTATTCCAAAAATGCATCCTAAGCTCTCTTCCTAGAAGACTTGCTGAGTATCACCTGTAGACTCGGGATGCTAAGGCCTACCGTTACTGTCTTTACCTCCCACAGAACCAATTTATAATTAGGACTTCCTTCACAAACTCTTGTCCTACTTCTCCTGATCCTATTTTACTTATACAATCAGTAGACTGTCAACATTTAGAGTAGCATTTAACTGCTTCATCTGTAACAGACACACATATAAAATACCAGAGGTTGCAAAGCAGAAAACACAATAAAATGCTTGTTGATCAGACACCTCAGTTCTGGGATGCCAAGTTCCTAACCTACTAATTCTTAATTGGACTGGATTACACCTATTTCTTCAGTCCATTATAAATTCTCACACTGCCTCCAGTTCACTTCAAAGGAAACACCTAGCTTTAGGTGAAGAATAAGAGGTCTATTATTACAGTCATTTATTACTGGCTGCCCCATACATGTTTTCTGTCTTTTTCCTGGTAATTCACTTGAGTCCTTTATACACAGCTTCACATACAACTGTTACAATGTTATTCCAAATATCAAACAAATTAAATCCAACTTACTGAGTAATATTCTTATAATACAAAATTAAGCTAGGTACCTTGGGACAATTTGATCAATCTGTTATTCAATCCTCCGTCTCCATCCACAATGTATATATCTCCTGTGTCCTCTACATATAATTCTGCGGGGTTATCAAATTGCAGGGGATTCAAACCAGTGCCTTTTTTGCCTGGTGTACCCAGGACTTGAACAAGATCACCAAAGGAATTGTATTTTTTAATAGTATGACCATAGGATCCTATAAAGACAGAGACACACATTTCATATATATAACTGCTGTACATTCACACTTTTCAAGTGAGTTAAGAGCAAAACTTGATAGAATTAAACAGTAGTATAAAGATAACTGGTTCAAATAGTTCAATGCTATATTTGCAAGCAAGTTAAGTTTCTTCATTAGCTACAATCAAATCTGGTCATGACCTAATATCTCAGGTATTTGAAAATAACATGCTAAATTCAACTAAATAAAACCAGAAAAAAATTGACACCATATACGGAATACTCATAAAATTAAATTATTGGTATGCTTTCCTTTTTTTTAATCCTATGGACTTTAGTAAGCATTATTTGTAAAAAGGAAATCAAGAAGGAACTGGAAAAAGAACAACATATATTTGAAAACTGCTATTTTGGTTATTCATTTGCAGACCTCAAATTGCAGTAGGGCAATGGAAAAGTTCTTTACAATACATATTTTTTTAAAGAACATTATCTCTTAGTGGAAACAAATTAAAAATTCAACCCACTTTCTGAATAAGGGGGAAAAATCTTCCCAAGTTACTCATATTTTACTTTCTCAAACATTAAAATTTGAGTACAAATTATCTTGTAAGCAAAAATCTAACGTAAAGTATTAAACAGGGGAAAAACATAAAGTACCAACTTGAAAGGATACCAAGACAAACTAACTGGTATATGTTCAAAAGGAAAATAATACACTGAGTTTATTGGAAATAAAGTGAATCAGATCGCATAATATTTTGGAAATTATATTAATCATACTTGATTTGGAAGCTTGAGTTAAAGTTTGCAACAATATGAGAATAAAACATTGTTAAAGGAAACACCAAAGTTTCTAAATTGGCAAAAAAGAGAGTACCAGCAAATAACCTGTTAAAAAATGACTGAATTGCAGTCATACTTTTATTAAAGAGAAGCTATTCCTTTAAAAAATGGGAAGGAATATAAAAACTGCAGATTTGTATGTGGGAAAACAAGCTATTATGGATGAAGCGATCACATGTGTTCTTTTTATTTCTGGGAATGAGTGAATTATTTCATAAAAAAGAATCACATGAATAGAATGAATTAAAAACCACAGGTCCTTGTGAATAATGAAAGTAGTCAAACTTCATTACAATGTTACAATGAATTCAGGATTTTAAACCAGAAACTTACCGTCCAAAATACAGTTTGAAATAAGAGAGATCATTGTCTGAAGCTCAGACATCTTTTACTTTCTCAGAACATGTCAGGTAAAGGTCCTTTCAAAAAACTGAGACATTAATTTTAAAATGATACATATGACTTAACTAAAACTGTGGAAACTAAGTGAAATCTCTCAAGCCATGAACAAAACTGGGTCAGGGAATTCTAGAAATGGTGTCTTTATGATTTCATTTCTTCCTAAGATCCTGAGATAATACCAGGTTTTCTTTGGTCCTGTCTTAAGTCAAAGCACATGCAAACCACTATCTCCGAAAACTTATCTCCACAGCAATATATTCAACTGTGCATACTTATTTCTCAGCACATTCTAATAAAAATTCTTGATTAAAGGAAGATTTCAGCCACGCTGCAGTCAGTGGGATTTTGAAATGTTAATGCCAGCAATTTCAGCAAATCTTACAAGCAGCAATAAAGTAGTTGTGATTTCTTAGCACAAACTCTTTTGACAAAGAATTGGTAAAGGCAAATGAGCAGCAAGGAATTAGATCCATCCATTAGATTTAGAGAATGCCATTTTATTTGGCTTCACAGAAGAGGTTTAGAGTTCTTTAACCTGAGAAGAGCAATTGATGCTTTAAAGAGAAAACAATCCCTTGACAAGTTAAAGATTATAATAATTAGAGCTTCCTTGTTAACTTTTGACTTTTTCTTTCAGAAACAAGTGATTTTAGAAGTCATTAAAGATATTATGATAAGAATTGGCAACTCTGATTGTAAACATATACAAACATGGACAAAAATGTGATTTCTAATACAATAATTTAAGATATTACTACACATACCACTTCCTACATCCGTGATCCAAAGAGACTGTTCATGTTGTGTACTGGCTGCAAATATACCATGAGGAGTGTCAACTGTATAATTCCAGGATCGTAGCAAATATCCATCCTCTGTGAACACTAATACCTTTGGGATGTTATCCCCTCTCTGAAGGTATATAAAAATAACTGCTTAGACAGGATCAATTTTAAGAACATAATCTTTAGTTTAGCAGAAAGAAATAAAAATTAAACATAAAAATCAAAAAATGTAGTAACTTTTAAAAACCAGGCTTCAAAACCTAAAAATAGGTATCATTCAAAACCAAAACATTTACTTAAGACCACTTCAGAAAACAAATTCTACAAATGGCAGGACATAAAATATATGCTTACTTAATTCAGAAAAAGAGGAAGTCTGTTGTTTCCTTTGCGTTGTTTAAAAAAAAAACCCAAAAACCTCAGTGGAGTAAATGTAAAGATCTAACTGGTTTTATTTAGTATTAGAACTCGGCAGCATCCCATCTAGCTAATAGAATTATGCCCAATTCATGAGTTATTTAATAAAGGCAATATGATTTTTAAATTTACTGTTGAAATTTAATTTTTAAGTGTTTATAATTTTTTAATGCAAATTTTACTTACTTGGGCTACATAAACCAATCCGTTGAGGGAGTCAACTGCAACACAAAATGTTGCTCCAGTAAAGTATTCAGAATACTTAGGCCAATCCACATCCAGGCTGTAAGGGATTTCCTCAGTTCTCCAGGAAATTTGAAAAGCAAACTTCCTGAAAACCTTAAATAAAATCAGAAAGTTAAGATGTCAGGTTTTGATTAAGATTTCAGTTTATTTTTAAACATGACAACCAGAGGCAGTCAACTTGCTGGAGTGAAATGACTGGAAAGAAATAGGTTTATGTAACTAAAGACCAAGGCGCCCGGGGGCCTCCCAGGTGATGCAAGGGGTTAAGCACAGCACTGTGAAGCTATCCGCAGCCTCTGCAGCACGAGTTCAATCACCGCCTGCCCGCCAAGGGGCTATCCTCAAGGCGAAGCAGACATCTCCAGTCTCACCAGCTGCTCCCGTCAGCAGTGCCTCCAGCCCACCCGCTTGTTCGGCTCCCCACTCTGTCTCTGGTGAATCCTCTCATCCCCCAAACCCCCTGCACCTCCCGCCTACACCCCAGTTCTTGTATGTATAAATAAATCTAAAAAAAAAAAAAAAAGACCAAGGCGCCCACATACTAATATACAAATTATCTGAGGGTATAGAGGGTGCTGGCTAAAAAAGAAAATAAGGTACAAAGAAATGTGTCATGTACACACTTTCAAACACTAAGTACTGAGACATGCCAGGACGCGAGTCAAGGCCCGTCACCTCCCAAGAGGGTTATCCACACACGCCACAACTACCTCTTCACTACTCAACTCACAGGCGAGTCACAAAATCGAGAATGCAAAGCCAAAAATACAAGAAAGAAGCCGGCACCGGCAGCGCAGATCCAGAATCTCGCCGTGACAAGACGACAGGTCGCACCAGGAAGAAGGGTGCACGGAAGGCTGGGGGCCATTGGGCAGTCTCAGGACCACGAGGTCTGCTGCTGTATATTGACGGCCGGGGCCGCACAGCTTAGACAACATAAAGGTAGGAAGGACCGAGGCAAAAGAAAATCAAAACTCCGGTTTCCGAGCCTAGGCACTTTCCCGGGTCTCCGCCCTCCTCCCATCACGTGCCTGGGGATGACCCGCCCTTATCAGCCCCTCGGGGCGGCCCACGCTGCAGACTTCTCACCTTCGCCAAAATAAGGGTCCCCGTATATTTGCCTTAATCACGCGTTCTACGTTTTTTTTAAATTCAGATTAAAAAATCAAAAGATAGCACAGAAAAACCTGAAAAATTTTGTGTGTGTCACTTAAAATATCGACTTTGAGACTCTGGAAAGGATTTCAGCAGCATCGAATTCCGAGTCATTCAGGCATCCACGCTGGACACCTACGTTCCCACACCAGGACCCCGCCACTGACTTTAAGGAAAGGGCGGCCTAAGCTGGCGGCGCATAGTTGAGTTTACTCGGGCGCGACGGACTTCATTGAAGGTCCCCGTGAGCCGGTGGGTGCTGTAGGGATAACTGGAAAGGGCACCTGGTTCTGTGGCTGTTCGGTGTTCGGGAGTCCCCCTGTCTGAGATCGTGGCCCCCTTCGCCGGGCTCCGGGTGCTCTTCGGCAGCCGGTGCACTCCCGGAAGCTGTGGCAGCTGGTAACAAAGAGCTTGCCAGGCCGCTGCCGTCGGACTCTGCGGGGCCCAGGAGTCCGGTGTTGCTGCTGGGGGTGGGCGCGAGCCGGGCCATGCGTCCAGGTTTGGGGCGGTGAGAGCCGGCCACCGGCGGCACAGGCGCTGGTTCGGGCGGAGAGGCCGGCGCCTCCCTCCTCGCTGCGCGTGGAGCTCCGGGCGCAGTTTTCCCGGGAAAACTGCTGCTGCTTCCTCCGGCGCATCCTGGCCCTCCGCTCCTGGGGACCAGCAGACCAGCGCTCAGCCGCAGCTGCCCAATCCAGGGTTTCTCTGCTGGACTCAGAGAACTCGACTCTTCTCCGAGGCGTCCTGAAGCTTTATGTAAAGAAAGTGGGGAAGCCTGACTGGTTTTGTTTTTAATAAAAAGTTTTTATAAGTCTCCGTTTTCAGACATTTTTGCAGAGTTTGAAGTATTCTACCTCTTCGCATCCTTTTTCCTGCTCCTGGAATCCTTTTCCTCCTCGCTTATAAATATTTTTTAACTACTGGAGCGGACCAAGGATGAATGTTTTGTAATTGAACGTAGAGCTGTTAAAACCACGTCGAGATAGTCAAGATGGACAAAAAGTCCTTTGAGACGGTGCTGGATGAAATTAGAAAGGTAACTACACTTTGTTCTTTAAATCATCCTTTGACCTGCGAATTCTCTTGATCTGTTCTCTTTGAGGCTCGGTGCACAAAAATAAAGGCTCTAAGATTGTAAAGTTGGTTCAAGTTTTAATGCTTAGTTCAGAGCTTTCGTCTTGATTTCACGATACAAGTAAAAGGTTAGGTTGATTCTAAACTTTTTGATAAACTAGTGCGGTATTATGGAAGATCTATTCAGAGAGCCCTCGAGTCCTAAGCCGGTTCTACAAGTATTTAATGTTTGTAGCGCTGTACTTTTTGGATGGGTGATTTAATATATTGAAATCTATTGCCTCACCTTTAAGTAACAAAAATGACCGAAAAGTAAAGCTAACACGTGGAAGGTTTAATAGTTATGACAAGTCAAATCTAAAGATAGGCAGATTGTTGTTTGAACAGAATAAAATTAGTGTTTCAATGAAACGTGTGGCTATAAATTTGAAAACAGTCTTAGGAATGGGCTTAAATAACTTGAATTTCAAAACTTTTCCCGCCTCGCCTCCTTTCTCAGTTTTTGCTTTTTTTTTTTTTTTTTTTTGAGGTATTGTATTTAGCCTACATCCCAGAATGAACCAGACAGTAAAATTTTTGGAATGTAGCCTTGAGCCTAACAGCACCTAAAGAGCAAAAAACCGTGATTTGATCGGGAGAATCTGCATACCATTCTTATGCTAACACAGGATCCTTTGCTTACACCTTTCCGGCAATTATTTCGCCATTTTCCCTACCTGTAAGACCTTTGAATGAAAAAGGAATTGTTAGCTTGTGCTCTGGTGCTTATTATTTTGATTTATGCAGTTAATAATAAAATTCCCTGTAAACACGTTGATTTTCTGCATTTTTTATAAAGCAAAATGTTTCTCTTTTTTTTGTAAATTAGGTTATAATTTACATATTTGATGATATTGAATGTTCATTTTTGAATGAAATTTCTACTTTTGCAAACCCAACTTGTTTCATTAAGATTTGCAATAAAAGGTCAACTTGCTAACTTTATATTTGGAATGTATCACAACTTGTTTATAAACAGATAATTACTGTTAAGAAAATAAATTGTGTATTCAGTAGACCAATACATTTCTCTTTGGAAATTACAGTGTCAGTTTACTCTTTTTCTTCTAAGTTGTGAAAAGATCACGCTATTGGTACTGATGAGGAGAAGAGAAAATTTTCCAGAAATGAAAATCATAGTCACATGAGAGAACAACTTAAATCCTTATTTCTATCTAGTCTGTAATCAGAATAAATCTTTCACTCTATGCCAAGATGCATCAACATTTTCCTAGTCTGTTAAAATAGGGTAAAAATATAGGCATAATCAAATGTAAGAGTAACATGATATTTTTAAAGTTACCTTAAGATTTTGTAAATGTAAGTCAGTTTAAATCAGGTAATCTGAGTGTCACTATAGGTTGGCTATACTGTCACTACTGTCATTTAAAGCAGAGGCATGTAAGAAGACAGGAGGAAAATAGGGGAAAAGGTAGATAAAGAAGCAATGTTGAATTTGCTTTCCAAAAGTAGGTAATAGTAACAGTAGTCATTCATTATTGAGCACTGACTGTGCCTCATTTGATTTAATGCCCCTAACAATCCATGAGGTGTAGATACTAGACTCCTCTTTGTCCGAATGGCTGGCATCCCTGTATTCTGTGAGGCAGTTAAAAATTATACCCAGCTGGTAATATCTGGGTCCAGTATTAAAACTCAGGCAGTGCAGCTCCTGGCACATATTGTGCCCGGGGATACAACTGGGCCTCTCAGACACTGATGAAAAAAATTGAGACAGGATTTGTCATCAACACAAGTAGGATTTGGTCCAGAAAACTCGATTTTGTTTTATGTTGTTTTTAGATTTGGTTATTGCAGTAACACTGCATTATAATCGTTGTTTTGGGTGTGTCAGAAACTTGCTTTGAGTATTGTACAATAATCATAATCAAACTTCCAAGAATACATTATCCAGAATGTCCTTCCCACCCCACTCCATCTCTATTTGCAGTAAAAATTAAGCTATTGAGCGCTCTGAATATTTTTCTTAGTTGACTGGTCATAGCATTTTCTCCTAGCATGATAAACAGGGAAAGTACAAATATTTTGTAGTGAAATCAAAGGGATTAGTTGTTTGCATGTGTTGTTACTCAATTATGACTATCTGGTTTTTCCATTTCTAAGCTGGATACATGTGACAGACAACATTTGGTTTCATTCAGCTATAGGTATTGCTGGCCACTGACTTCTCTGAATGTCCCATTGATGGATGCTGTAGGAGGAAAGGAACCATCATTTATTGAATACTTATCAGGTGTCAGATCTGCCGTTGACTATTTTAATCCTCATATTAACTATGAGGTAGCTTCTCTTACTGATGAGGAGGCTCTCGGGATAATTAAAATACCTCTCAAAATTCACACTGTCAGTGGCAGACACACAGTTTGAAAGTTCCCTGACTCCTTGGGTTGTCATAGCTCTTTAGAAATGTTGAGAGCCTTAACTATATAGGTCTTGTTGCATCTCCACCACTTAGCTCATAGTAGGTGCTCAAAAAAGAATTGATCACTGAATATTGTCTGACACATTTAATCTTAAAAAGGACACTTTGGTTCATTTTGGAATTTTCAGAAAATAGACTCAACAGGAATTATGTATGTATTACAATTAATGTTAAATCGTACCTATGATAATTTCAATTCCTTTGTAGGTATGAGTAGGGAAGCCTGAGAGTTTTCCTGCTATCTCACTAAAATCTTTATAGCATGGAGCCTGGAAAGGTAGAATGTGTGTCTCCACAATGAATTTATTAATAGCTGCCTCTGCATGACCAGGCTTAAGAGGCCCTGCACCCTTGCACTTGCTTAGGCAGTTTTGATTAGATGTGTGTTAATGTTCTGCTTACATATATTAATACTGTTTTTCTATGTTTTTTAGGCTGTTTTGACAGAATATAAATTAAAAGCAATTGAATATGTGCACGGCTATTTCTCTAGTGAACAGGTATTCCTCTATTTAAGTAAAAGTCTCTCTTTTTTTTTACACTTATGTTTTACTTACTATCTATTTACCTGCTGGTCAAGTTCAGAATTGCTTTTACTTTGTGGCTGTATTCATTTAGGAATTTTCCACCTTTCCCTTTTGGTCAACTATAGAATTTATAATTTAAAGGCATTTTATTTCACCACCCTATCTTGTTCTAACAATTTAAAAATGCAGTGTGTAAAAATAACTTTCAAAATGTTTATCATTCTGGGTACAGTATTATAAATTTATAAACTTCTAACGATAAATGAACCCAAATTTGTATAGTATAAGTCATTAATTGGCAAAATCTGCATGCTATAGAAGAACTTAAGCAAATGTTGAACTATATTCTTACAGGAAGCCACCAAGTAAAAACTTTAGCAATAAGGAAAAAAACTAGTGTCAAATACATAATTTCTTTAACTGTTAGAATAATGTTTTAAGCATGGTAATTTGGTGATAACTTTCACCCAGGAGGAATTTGCTAATTTAAGAAAAAAGTATTCTTACACATGCACCTTCATTCATGCACCAGTCTTCTGAGGAACACTTGGAAAATATGAATTGGAGCAGAAATAGTAATGTACATCAGGAAAACATTTATGGATAAGGGGGATGCAGAAAGGTGATAGCAGATGTGTATAAATTGAATTAGCAATGCTCCAATTTTTTGTCTGTTTCTCAAAACTTTAATAAAAGCTTTAAGCCTAAAGAACGTTAAGTCTTTGGAAGTTCTGCCTACTAAATTCCTGAAAGCTAACTTTATAATTTGGTGTGTTGCTGCCTATGTAAGCTGTGTTTTCAGTTGTTCGGTTGCTTTTCATAAGCATCTTACTTTTTTTTTAAATGTTTTGTAAAGATTTGTAATTTCTCATAGGTAATAGCTTTTGTGTGTGTAAAATTTTGTAGAAATTTCCCTTTAGTTATTCCACTTTGGTAGTCATTAAAAACTATATTAAACTGCTTTCTAAGTGTGCTCTGCTAAGTCTACTTGCTATATTGAAAAATTTTCTCCCTGTGACAGTAAAATTTTATGGTTGGTAAAGTACCAGATAACATCTTCTATATAAGTAAGAATATTATTTCTCTAAAAGTACTGACTTGCCACTCTCACCAAATTATCTAGAAAGTGATCGTCATACTTGGTAACATTTAGGTGTCTCTTTATAAGGAGTAAAATTATTTTCTCTCTTCACATACTATTCCAGCTTCTAACACTAACCATACTTTGCAGAATAATCTAAATTTTAACACCTTTTCAAAAATTCACAGATTTAGCTCCGACTTTATTACCCATTTTTCTTAAGTCATTTTTTTCTTTTAGGGTATCTCCAAAGGTAGTGAACCAGGGTGGCAGTGAGCACGCTGATACTTCAATGCTGTCATCCTGATGCCCTGTTCACCCCTCACTAGCTATATCACAATTTCTCCCTCATTCAGTCCTTTGAATTTCTTTAGTGGTAGTAGCAGCCTGCAAGAACCTGCCTACCTGTGCTCTTAAAATGACCTACTTGTTTAGGGGCTACTGTGGTAATTGAGAGTGATTCTTATGCTTTTAGTTTTTACAGAATAGATCTGTTAGGGTGGATGTGTGTTATGCAGTGCAGATTTAAGTAAAACAGTAGAAGTTGTGGGCTCAGGACACTAAATCACACCACTTAACACTCTTGTGGTTGATTAAAGCAGTCACTCTCCACTACTGTTTTAAAGTATTTCACTCATAATATAGCTTTATATTCCTATGGTGGCATTTTATCACTCTCTGGTGCTTTCCCAACCTTTTTTTCTTTAGGTAATTTTCTTTTTCCTATACCTTATGCTTTCACTTGTTAGACCAGTGCTGTGCAATAGATTTTTCCATGGATAGCTACCAACTTCATATGGATTTTAAGCACTTTTAGCAATAAAGAACTGAATGTTTTTATTTGATTGAATTGATATAATTTAAGTAGCTGCACATGGCTACTCTATTAGCAAAGAATAAATTGGTATCATCTTCATCACTCATTATCTGGGCCCAACCAACATTTTGAATAGTAGTGCAGAGTACTGAAATTAATCTTGTAGGTAAGCACTTTGTGTCTTGGAAACACATTGTCATTAGAATTAAATTAGTTCTCTGCTTTCAGGTGGTTGATTTACTAAGATATTTTTCCTGGGCTGAGCCTCAGTTGAAGGCAATGAAAGCATTACAGCATGTGAGTACCTATGTTTCATTAGAAGGTAACTTTTTAATTCTCTGGTTTCCTGTAATTCATTTCAAGTTGTATTTTGCATTATAAAAACTGACCCTAAATTTTACTACATTTTAATTTTTCCAAATAACTATTAAATTCAAACTTTCTGAGCTGTAAATTAAAAATTACATGTACTGTACTATTAAATTGCACACCATAGAGTCCTAATTGGCAGATTGGTAGAAAAAATATTCATAGGCGTTCACAACACAGGATTTGAATTCTTAAGTATTTTAATGCACTTCTTTTTATAATATTTTGGTATATATCTCTTCATTCTCTTGTACTTAATTGTAGAAGTGTCATCAGACAGGTTTATACTTAAATTCTTTAAACAAGCACTATCCAAATGAATTTCAGTACTGATGGGAATGTTCTGTATCCATGTTCTCCTGTATAGTAACCATTGGCCAGCTGTGGCTATTGAGCACTTAAAATATGTCTAGTCTTCCCTGAGGAACTGTATTTTCAATTTATTTCACTTTAAATAGGCAAATATGCCTAGTGGCTGCTGTATTATATAGCACCACTCTATAGCCTAGATTAACAGCAGCAACTAGGTCAAACAGTATCTAGCTCTGTAAGAAGACTTTCTTGGGAATATCAGGTGTGAATAGCTTTAAAGGAATCGACAGATCCTTAATTCCTAAACCAATGTGCCTAAGAAAACGTTGAGGTCTGTTAGTTATTTTCCTTGTTAGCAATTGCTTTTTCTCTACTTTATAAAGAATGGGTTATATGATCCATCTACCTATCATCTAAGGGTGAAAATCATTATACAAAAATCTGTTGGTTTCCTATATGGAAACAATGGACTAGATGAGATAGAAATCAAGAAAGCAATCTCACAATTGCATCAGTGGGATGTATCTAGGAATAAAGTTAAAGGAGGTCAAAGATCTGAGAATGAAAACTATAATACATTGTGAAAATAGAAGATACAAAGAAATGGAAAGATAGTTCTTGCTTGTGGATTTTAGAAGAATTAAAACAATTGAAATGGCTCTCTTACCCAAACAATATACAGAGACAGTGAAGTATGTATCAAAGTTTCAATGGCATTCTTCAAAGAAATAGAACAAACATTACTGAAATTAACATCCCAAATTGCCAAAGCAATCCTGACAAAAAAAAGAATGGAGGTATCACACTCCTAGATTTCAAACTGTACTACAAAGCTATAATAACCCCAGAAATAAATCCATACTTAGAAAGACAGTTAATAATTTACAACAACAAAGCCAAGAGTGTACAATGGAGAAAGGAAAGTCTCTTCATTTCCAGTTAGAATAACTGAATAGCCACAGGCAAACTAGATCGCTGTCTCTAACCATACAAAAAGTTAACTCAAAATGGATTAAAGACATGGGTGTGAGACCTGAGAAGAAAACATTGATTAAAAACTCTATGATATTGTCTTTGTGGATGTATTTGGGGACTCAATGGCAAGAGAAATAAAAGCAAAAATAAACAAATGGGACCACATCAAACTATAAAGCACACAGGGAAAGAAACTAGAAGACACCCTACCGAATGGGAGAAAATAATTGTATATTATACATCTCACAAGGGACTAATATCCAGGTTTTACAAAGAACTCATATAGCTTCATAAGTAAACAATCCAGTCATAAAATGGGTAGAAGATCTAAGTAAACACTTCTCCAAAGAGGAAATAACACATGGCCAACATGGCATGAAAAAAATGCTCATTATCTCTTATCAAGGAAGTACAAATCAAAACCACAATCAGAGAATATATTGGCAAGGTCATGGAAAATGAACCCTTGTACACTGTTGGTAGGAATATAGAGCTGGTCTACCACCTATGGAGAGTAGTATAGAGGCTTGTCAGAATATTAAAGTTAGATCTGCCATATGATCCAGCAATTCCACTCCTAGATATCTACCCAAACGCTAATTTGAAAGGATATATGCACTCCTGTGTGCATTGTGGCACTGTGCAATAGCCACATTATAACAACCTAAGTGTTCAAGGACAGATGAGTGGATTAAGAAGGTATGGTATGCAGATACCGTGGAATGCTACTCAGCTATCAAAAAAAAATGAAATACTACATTTATGACTATATGGTTGGAACTAAAGGGAATTGTGCTAAATGAAAAAGTTCAGGAGAAAGACGAATGCCACATGATTTCACTCACGAGAAATATAAAGAAACAAAGCAAAAGAACCAACAAAACAAGTCCTAGAATCTGACTGCTGAATTGAGGCTACCAGAAGGGGAGAGTGGCGAGTGGTAGTAAAGGGGAAGTGGGGCCCAATATACTATGGTGGAGGATTATGGGTGTTTCGTGGTACGTGCGGCATGGTGACATATTTCAAGAAGTATGGCATGCCTAAATCATAAAAATAAAAAAAACAAAACTTTCTTCTGATATTAAAAAGTGTAATCTGAGAGAAAGAGCAAACAGGATTTCTCTAGAATATGCTAATGGAAAACTTACCTTATTTTATCATGACAACAAACTACAAAGCTCTGGACCTCCTTGTCTATCTGCCTATCTTAGAACTCAAATTTTGAGATGAGAAGGTTAGCCCAGGTGCAACTTAGTGCATTCATTTCAAACAAGTCCAGTCTTTTCTGACAGAGTCTGAATTGACTGGTTGCTTCACACTGAAGACTGACTTTGACATTGTTACTTAGTGTACATTTTCATAAAATGAAAGAACTTAATCAGTTTCAAGGTCTTTACAAATATATAATAAACATAAGGACATTAATCTCTTGTAAATATTTTTGATAGGGCAATTTAAAAACATGCAAATGAGTGTATATGAATAATTTTACTAATACTTTCGATAATACGTGAGTAAAAGTGTTTGAAAACCATTGCTCCAAGTTTTAGGAATCTAAGGCATGATTGTTCTAATTGATCTTCCTTCTTACATTAACTTTGTTTTTGAATTCCTGCCGCTGTTAACGTAAGTCTGTAATTGGCCAAATTTTCTACCTGTTCTTCTAAAGTAAAGGTACTTTAGTCAAAGTATGTAATATTCCACATAATCTTGGGATTTCAAATGCGCACTAAAATAAGACTTGTAAAAAATGTTCTGCAATAAAAAATGCTCTTTAACCCATCTTTTCGCTAACTGAAGTTATTGTATTATCCTTTTTCAGTAACACTATTCATCTTATATACCACCCTTCATACCCTAACTGAGGAATGTAATTTTTTTAAAAAAAATTATACTTCATACCCTAACTGAGGAATGTAATTTTTTTTTTAAGATTTATTTATTTATGCATACAAGAGCTAGGCTACAGGCCAGAGGTATGGGGGGGGTGGTGAGGCAGATTGTCTGAAATATACTGCTGAGGGGAGCAGTGAGCGTGTCAGGAGAGGTCTGCTGCTCCATGTGGGTAGCTCCCTGGCCAGAGATCGAACTCATGCTGCAGTGGCGGTGGGTAGTTTCATAGGTTACATCTTAACCCCCTTAATGCCACCAGGGAGGCCCCAGGAATGTAATTCTTCTAACTTCTCAATAGGTGTCTTCCATAATTGTAAATATTCCCTTTTATTTAAGCTTTCTGAGAAAAGTAGTATGATTAAGTACTTTTTATAATCCTATGAATGAACACACTGGGAAATGTGGATATAAAAGAGCACATAGGAGAACTTAAATCCACAGTTAAAATAGTTTTACTGAATAAGCCTAAGTTTGATTCACATAGATGTTAGGGACTTTTGAGTGAGTAAGCAGTTTTTAACTGAACTATATGGACATTAACTATACTTCCCTTTAAAAAGTAATTTCTGAATGAAAATTTCTCATTGAAAATAAAATTTTTTATGTTACTAGAAAATGGTGGCTGTTCACCCAGCAGAAGTGGTCAATATACTCAACTGTTTCACCTTCAGTAAAGACAAACTAGTTGCTCTTGAATTGTTAGCTTCGTAAGTATTTTTTTCTTTTTACTTCATTGAAGAAATTTTAGAAGATATTTAAAATGTCTTAACTTACTAGCATATGTTTCTGTGTCAGAATTATATTAATAAATGGAGCTCTAATGAAATCTGTGAATGCACAGAGCTATATTCTTATATCTAAATATCTGTTTAAAAATAATCTAGTATATTTATTATACATGGTTATAAATTATGAAATAGGACTTAAACATTCATTTTAATTGGTCTTGCTTTTCGATTTCTTGCTTTATCTTCCTACTCTGAAAACTTGAAATGCTCATTGATAAATCTGTAGAACTTAGACAGTTTCTACCACTTTGCAGCATGTTGTTTTTGACTGAATATGTGGACTTTGTCTTTCTGGACCTTATTCTCCTCTGTTGTAAAAAAGAAGGATCTTATCTACTTAGTAGGTAGGGTATGAGAAGTTTAAATACTGTAAGGTATGTAAAAATACCTAGCACAGCATAATGAATGTAAACTCAAAAGAGAAAAAGAATCTATTCTTTTGCGTGATAAGTCTATAAGTTGCTATTTACTTATATATATAGCACATGCATTGTTAAGTCCCTTATGAATTTATAGATAACTATGAAAACACAAAATTAAAATAAAGCTTAAGAGAAAACTTAATTTACTGATCAGCTATGATTTTTGTACATTTAAAACACAGGTTTGTTCAATTGCTATAGCTTTTCTGACACTCATTGAAAGGTCTGTTTTCAAGAAACTCAAAATAGTGATTTTTGCTTAATAATGCTACTCTGTTATTCTCAAGTTACCTCACAAACCTCATTTCAGTTATATTTACCAACTTTATATAAACACGTTATTTATATCGGGGAAAAGCTTACTCAGATTTATTTGGGTGGGGAAACAGTTGTTGGCCTCTGTATATGTACAGTTTCTTAAATGAAAGCTAAATTGTATTTCCTTTGTAGAAACATTGTTGATGCTCAGAATTCTCGTCCCATTGAAGATTTATTCAGGATAAATATGTCAGAGAAGAAACGGTGTAAGAGAGTACTCGAACAGGTAATTTTCTCAAGATCGATGTATAAATGGTATATTGGTTTTGCTGAATGTTGAAAGAAAAAAGTACCAGCCCATTCCTATGTTAACTTTGATGGCTAAAATGACTGGGTTAAGAGTGAACTCTCATGTCTTCTCTGGGTCACATAAACTAGAGTTGGGTGAAGGGGATCCAGGAGGAGTGAGCAGGCGAGCTGAGAAGTCAGTGGGTCAGGGGATATTTATGTCTCAGTCCCTTGGTAGCCAGGCCATGGCTCCAAGCTTTTGTCTTTACATCTATATATTTTAGTGATTGACTTTTTAAGTTTGCTTTGTCATCAGGATTATGTTAATCGTATTCATAAAATATGAATTATAAAGCAAAGTTTCTGTTTATTAGTTCAGAATTTCTGGAAGTGGAATAAATAGTGAGTGTCCAAGCCTAAAAAGCTTAATTTATAATCCAGGTGATTATTTCCCAGAATTGTGATGATTGGAAATTGAATTGAAAGTGAAAAATCTACTTGATGAAGACTCAGACTGCTCTCCTTGGATCTTTCAGCCCAATCACATTTAATCCTCACTCTTCACTGACCTCAGCAAGGGCAGAGAACTCTGCCGTAGTCATCAGTTATTAAAGCAGAGGCAAGATCTGAGATCACATTTCTTTACTATAATGGCCTCTTCATTGGCTTTCTTGACTAAATTATTAGATATTGTTCACTTTGCTGCTGTAGTTTTCTTTCTTAGAAAGCATTTGACTTCCCTTCTCAGAAATGATTTGGGTTGGAGTGTCCTGTGAAATGGGCCCTCTGATAAATGTAAATTAGTACTTTTCTGAAGGTAAAATATTCATATTTTTTTGTCTCCAAAATTCTAATCTCTAAGAATTTATTTTAAGGAAGTAAATAGAAACACAAATTCATATATAAGGGCAGTCACCCTGGTATTGTTTATAATAGCCAAAAATTGAGGTGATTTTTAGGATTGGGGTATTTAGTAGAGGACTGAGTTATATAGCTAATATATGTGTTATAAATAAATTTATAGAACTAATAACTATAGAAATACATATAACATTGTATATACTTATAAAATAGCTATTGTATATAATTTGATAGTCCTGTTATATAGAAATATTAGTATATAGACCTATTATTGCCTTATATGTTTGTCATTCATTTAACGAATATTTATTGAGCACAACTCAGTTTGTATTATTCACTGTTTTAGAAGCTAACATTGCATGCGGTAATTATACCAAAGTCCCCTTCTTCAGTGTCTCATAATTATGCAGCATTATATTGGGCACCCAATGTCCTATGTTATTTGTTTGTATTTTCTCCACCAGGTTATGAAACTTCTTGAGAATGGAGACCATGTCTCTTTCATCTCTGTGTTCTTGCCTTCTTGACCCTACCATGAGCTAGGTGTTTGTAGTGTTGGACTGTATCTTTCTTGATGGTTAGAGAAATAGTAAATGTGCTTTTTTGTACACAGTTTATAAAATCCATTGTGAATATTCTGTGTATAGGAGTATATTAGTTGCAACATTAAAAACATTGTTACCAGTTTAATAGTTCCATTTAAATATTTTACTTACTGATTTTGGTGATGTTCGTGGATACAAGTATGGGTTGATATGTGAACAAATTGAATGTTATGCTATTTTTTAGCAAAACTTCCCAGTATCCACAATACCTTATGAGTTTATTTGATTTTTATTTTTCATCATCCACGTCTTTTTTATGTTGCAGGCTTTCAAAGGAGGCTGCAAAGCTCCACATGCAATGATATCTTCTTGTGGTACCATCCCAGGAAATCCATATCCCAAAGGAAAGCCTAGTCGCATAAATGGAGTTTTCCCAGTAAGCATCTTTTTTTGACTCAATATGAGCTTCTTGTGGCTAAGTATGAAATCTAGCATTGCGTAATGTTTAAAGAAAATGTCAGTTGATGATGCTTCTGCAAAGGAAAGGAATTTTATTATGTCAGCGACTTAATTCGTAAGATTCTCCACTGATTGAAAGTTCTATGTAAAGCACATCAAGGTATTTGTGTGCAATGTACAGAAGAGCAAGGCAGAGAGAAAAGAGAATGATTTGGTTTGGTTTGATTTTTCCAAGTATTTTGGAAGCACTGTTTTCGTAAAGGAGCATTTCTCAGTCTCAGTATTCCTCCAACAGTTTCACACAGTTAAGTCTGTTTGAGAAATTGCATGCAGTGTTTCCTTCCTGGAGAATCACTTGTATAAAGACTCTGAAGTCCTGTACGAAAGAAACTTGTTATATAATCAGCCAGTTTCCCTCAAACTTCCCTGTAAATTAACTTTTTCTAAAGTTAGTATGTGTTATTGTGGTGTGACAATCCCCCAACTTAGTGGATTAAAACAATAAGCATTATCTCACAGTTTCAATGGATCAGAAATGTGGAAATAGCTTAGCTTCATTCTAGCCCAGGATTTTTCATGAGGCTAGTCATCTGGGGGCTTGCTTAGCGCTCAAGACAAAGTTTCCAAGGTAGCTCATTTACATGCCTGGCAAGTTGGTGTCTGTCATTAGCAGATGGCCTTTGTTCCTCTCCATAAGGACTTTTCCATAGTGTTGTTTAACTATCTCAGGATGTGGCAGTTGACACCCCCATAGCAGTAATCCAGGAGAGGGCAAATGGAAGCTGTGAACTCAAATGTCATCATTTCTGCAGGTTCCTATTTGTCACACAGGTCAGCCCTTTTCATGGTGGAAGGAGAGTATGCCAGTGCACATGGGAGGTGAGATTCACTGGGGGCCCTCTTGGCTTCCCACACTAGCATGTGCTGTATAGGCATACATTCTATCAATGTAATCTGTTAATTATAGCGGTCTTGAATGGGGTCTCATGTGCCCTGTACAATATTAAACTATCACACTTCCTGTTTATGAAGATCAACATTTTTTGTTATTTATTTTCAACTGTATAGAGGTACGCTTTAATTATTTGAATATTTTACCTACCGTAGCATTAGAAATCTGTTTTCTGGTTGAGCCTATTGTGAAGGGGAAAAAACTAGAACATACTTTATCCTGCCCTTCTGTCATCCCTGTGTGTATTGTGTGTTTATTTCTGAATACATCTTGTACATGTTACGAGAGTTCTGTGGCAGGGCAGGTTATCAGGGTCATGCAGCCAGGGGTAGAATTTGGGTCTGGAATCCAAGTCTACAAACTCCTAACAAGTTAAAGTCCTTTTCTTCAATGTATTGTGGTAAGGGTTTTTGGTTTTGTGTTACAGATTTTTTTGCCTATGGGTCTTTTTTAAATTCTCATTTATCTTTCTTTTTATTATTTTCTTTCAATAGGGAACCCCTCTGAAAAAAGATGGTGAAGACTGTACCAATGAGGGCAAAGGGATAGCTGCCCGGATTCTTGGACCATCCAAACCAGTATGTGCAGAAAATAAGTGACTAAGCAAATCTTAACTCTTAAAATTTCTGTCTGTTCAAAGCATATAAGTTCTGTTTTTGTGTTGTGAAGTTCAGTGTATATTAAAGATTCTATGAGAGTGAATAGTCTGGGGAAATATAGTATAATTACTAACAATATTAAGGGCCTATTTGAGGTTTAATGTTCCATTTTAAAATGAAACAAATTGTTTTTTTTCCTCTAGCCATATTTAGCTTTTCATTTGGAGATATGGAGTATAGAGAGTTCACTTTAACTAAGGTTTGGTTTTGCCAAATTCATAGTAGTGAAAAAAGACAGGAGTAAGCAGGTTTAGGGCGTTTTCAAGGGAGTCATTGTAAAAATTGATTGGAATATAAAACAATTGCCCTGGGTTGAAGGATTGTTGAAATTGAAGTACTAGAGGCCCCTTCTCAGCCACCTTGCAGTCCCTGCCTGTCCACCTGGCAAAACTGCAATGATAGTGGTTAATGCACTGTCCTGGCCCAGGACAGCATTGCCCTTATAGAACTAGGAAGAATCTGGGTCCCTTAGCACCAGGTGCATTCTCATTCCCCCTCTGGGTGCTCCTGGTGTGTTTGTGCTCGTGTCCTTTCTCTCTGAAAGCTCTTTGTTACTTATATAAGTTCCTATAAAATAAAAAATAAAGTATAAAATTTAAAAAATGATGTATTTCAAGAAGCAAAAATCCCAAAATTAAAAATTCCTGATTCCTAATTAACAGCCTCTAGAGTTGGCAGAATGTCAAATGCTAAATGAAACAATGCTTTTTCCTTCCAAAAGAAGGAAAAGAGGGTAAGAATGGTAAGATGAATACCTAATGAGTTCAAGAGGATGGAGAATCTTGGGTAGCTGAGATTCCAAAACCTAGCTGATTTCTTGTTATTACATAGGAGTATATTTGGGATTCTTGAGTTAATGTAGGCCAGGTCAGAGAGGAGTTTGCTATTTAGGATAAGGTCTGATCCTTCATTGGAAATGATTGAAATATTTAATAGCCGTCCTTGGCAGGATCTGTCTTTGGATTTAATAAGAACTATAGTTATTAAAGAGAAGAAATTTCCCTCATTTGTGACATGTAATTAGTCCAGTAGCATTTGATATGCTGGAGTATTTTTAGCCTCTTAGGATTAAATATTTTGGAAGACAAATTGTATTTTGTTTTGCCAAGAGCTCACTTCCTTGGTTTTTCCCTAACTGCTATAATTTTACCCCTCATCTAGCCTCCTTCAACTTACAATCCACATAAACCTGTTCCTTATCCAATACCTCCATGCCGGCCACATGCAACTATTGCACCAAGTAAGGAGTTCTTCCATTTTTTTACATTTTTCTTTTAAATTATTATATTGAAAGTAGATGCTGGTATAGATACTTGGGAAATCTGAACACTTATGAAATATGCTATGTGAGTTTGATTTTGCCACAGTCAGATACTAGTGTCTTGATCTACAACAGTACAGCAGGCAGAGTTTACTTAGAATATTTTCCTTTTGATAAATTAATTATAGATCATTTAAATCTTTATTACGGATGATTTTCACTTTGGTAAATCATCTTGAATTTCTTTTTGGTAGCTGTATTTCAAAGCCATTGTTATTAAAATGCATTTAATGTACAAAGGTCAAGTATATGTGCTTAACAGAAAAATACCTAGTATGGCAGGTCCTGCCAGCTATGTCATATTGTGACCATGTGCCTAGAATGAATATGTAGTGGGTAATGGGAATCTCTAGCTGTTTCATCTGGTCTCATGTTTCATGGAATCCATGACTCAAATCTCCATGTAAGATTCAACTCTATTTAAAAAAAAAAAATTACATAGCTACATTAATACAGTGTGAATGCCTGGCCTCAGAATGATAGCATGTATTATTTTTCTGCTTTATTTTTCTTTTTAGGTGCTTATAACAATGCAGGTCTGGTACCATTAGCCAATGTCATAGCTCCAGGTGTACCCCCGCCACCTCCATATACTCCTAATCCAGTAGGAACAGGTAAAGTCATGGTATTGTGGGTGTTAAAATAAATAATTTATTCGTGCACAAATGCACATGTGGAACGCGAAGTTATTTGACATTGTGTGTCCTAACAGAGGGAGTACGAACTCGGGGGCCTGATGATGGATGTGTGTGTTCTACTAGTACAACTTTGGCCCATGTTGGTGAACATGAGCAGGTTGCAGAAATAAGCACTAGTTCTCATGAGCAAGAGATTTTGACAGACAATGGGAAAATAAAATTGACCTAAGGAGTGTTACTGGTTGGCAAATTACTAATACCACTTCTGACTTCTGTTTATTTGGCTTTTACTTGTGTCATGCTGAAACCATCCCCATTCCAACAGTATGAAAATGAAATGTATGTTCTTAAATTTATTTTATTTTGATTTTTTTTGAATATGTATCTTTTAATCTACTTGCTATTTATTTCTGTGTGTGTGTTGAGTGGCATTAGAATTTCAATTTATTTTCTGCCTTTCTGTCTCTGGCCCATACATCTGGCCTGTACCCCAGTTCTTATATGCATGATAGATAACTCTTAAAAAAATTACATATTTGTTCTTAGTCCTTCTATTTGATTTGTGTATTCATTATTCCTTTACCCCAGCTTTTACTTTTTCTTACTTTTGTTTACTTGAATTTGTCATATTGCTATTTTATTTTTTTAATAACTTTTCTTTCTATGCCCCCAAACTTAAGAATTTTATCTTTAATATTGCTAATGTCTACCTTCACATTCTTAATGGTTGCCAGTATACAAAAACTAAAAATAGCCATTCTATATTCTATCCTTTGAATTCCATACTCTTTCTTTTTCATCAACTTGTGTTTTTTTTTTGAAAAATTGTTTATTTTTATATCTCTACCTCTGAAGTTTATGTTTCCTGTTTCTGTGCCTCTTATTGTTTCCTTTGTTCTTTGATTATCTTGATATGTTCATTCTGATTTTCTTTTAGTAGTAAAAAAAGGTCACATGTGTAGAGTTATAGGTAAGAAACTCGATTGCAGGGCCTCTCCTGGTGGCTCTGCAGTTGAGCGCTGAAATCAATTTTTTATATCTTCACATACTCTACTTATTTCCTGGCAGCATTGTGTGTGTATTTTATTAATTTACATTACAGAATTTTAAAGTTCTTTTTCGTTCTGTCATTGAACCTCCATTGTTAGTACCATCTGTTCTGACTGTATATCTGTACTAAGTACCTTAAAAAGCTGTGATCTTGTTTTGCTCACTGTGTCAGAGCTGCATGTTCCTTTTACACCTGTGTCTGTCACATTGTTTCTTGCACAAATATTATCAAGCCATGAGAGGTATTTTTTCTCCATTTCTTGGCTAATGGTCCAGTTACACAGATCCTTCCTGGGGTGGTGGGTGTAGGACGTAGGAGGAGTGTGCTTTAAGCTGTCCAGTCTTATAGGCTTCAAAATCAACTTCAACTACTAGTTCTTCTTGACAACTTTTAGCTAGAACCTTTCCGGAACTGAGTCCTGCAAATGGATAAGGCCACTTTCTGTTTGTTTGAATGAACCATTTGACTTGTAAGATTGATCAAATGGCATTGGATTTGATTTTTTTCTCAGCATCTGCTGTTTACTTCCATTCTTCCACTGTTTAGACACTGGCACTAAAAAGTGACTGTCAGCGTAACCAGGACAGTGGTTCCTCCTCCTCTCCAGCCTCACACTGTGTTTTCTAAATGAATTACATACTCAGGTCATCATCTTTCCAGAAAGCAACTTTGAATATCTGTAGAATAACAATGTTTATTTAAAACCTGACAAGGAGAGACAGTAGTGGGGTAGGGATCAGTTACTCATAATCTTTTAAATCTTCATATCAATCATACTTATGTGTTTTTAACTTATTTCTTTTTTTTTCCATAAATATGTATGGTCTTTTTCCTAACAGATTGTACAATCATATTTATTTCTTGGGCTTTCTTTTTTTGGCTCCAATTTCTGATTATGATGATGATGAATGGTTTTTTGGGTTTTTTTTTTTTTTTTGGTGATCAATAATTTGATTAAAGCTTGAAATCAACCTTTATTTATTTTCATACAGAAACTGAAGACCTTTCCAGTCAGTCAAAACCCACACAGAATCAAAGTAAGTACCAAATTTGATTCAAAGATATCTGTCCTGGTTGTCTGCTCTGTTATTGACTAAGCAATTTGCGTTCAGTGTATTTTTAAGTCTTTATGCTGTAGGAAAGTTTCTGGTTATAGAATGTAATCAATACTTGCTAAAGGTTCCTTAATAATTGTACATTTTGTAAACACAACATGAGAGTGATTATAAGAGGTAATATAATGTAGGAAGAATAAGGGAGCACCACAGCAGAAAATGGAATCGAAGCTGTAATGAAATGTGGCCTGATTAATGCCTGCAGATGGCAGCAGCACTGTAACATTTTAATCTCCCTTAGTTGAGTCTAGTTTGTCAGGAATGTGGTGCTTTCTGTTAGAAGACAAAGTCTGGGATTAGTTCTTGTGTAGCAAAGTAGCAGGTAAATCTAATCATTATGATGCACAGTTAGGCGTCTCTGTGGGAGAATTCTGTTCCCTGAGAATGATGCCTAACCACTGCTTTTAGCTGGTGGTTTCCAAAGGATGTGGTGTGCTGGGGCTGAAAGAATGCTAAGTGAGGTATCAGGACGTCCGGGTTCTTATCCTGGCTCTGGTCCTCTACATTTAGTTAAATAAGATAGTGAATTCTCAGATGTTTCCCAGCCAGTGCTAACCTAAATAATTTTTTTGTATATTATTTACCAACACAAAAGGAGGTCTATATTCCTTTTGATTTCAGTTCTAGATGCAAACATTCTAGACCGCTAACTTTGTGAGCCCGGGCAGTTTATTTTGCTTCTTGAAAAGACTATTAAGGAAATCTTAGCCTTTATGCTAGCTTCATTAATAGCTCTCTCTTTGAAGGGAATAATAATACTTTTCTTTGGGATAGCATACTTCATTTTTCTATGTTGTTAGCACAACATAGTTAAGTTTTTTTCTTTTATTAATCATTATTAAAAAACAAAATGATAGTGGTTAACAACATTGGTCTCACAGACTGGATTCACATCTTTAAATCTTTGTCCCACCATGTCATAGTTGCATGACTGTTAATTGTGAAATTTTGAGTACACATAATGCAGTATTATTGACTATAGGCATAACACTGCATAACACTGGAACTCATTCATCTTGTGTAATTGAAAATTTATGCCCTTTGACACCATTTACTAGCTACGTGGTCTTTTAACAAGTTGTTTAAACACATCAAGCAAGCCTCAGATTTCCTATCTATAAAATGGGTATGTTAGTACCTATCTCAGAAGGTTAGATCAGGACAAATGAAATCGTGGGTATAAACTTGGAGTAGGGATCTGTTCAATGGTTAACCAAATTAGGTAACAGAAAGGACATGTTTATCATGGTATGTTTGGGGTTTCTTGGGTTTTTTGTTTTGTTGCATTTTAACTGCAGGCACTATCATTAATAGTGCAAGATATCTGCTTTTTATGTAAAAAGATTTCCAAAAGAGATAACTATAAAGACACTGTAGACTGATTGGCTTTATCTTGGGATTAGTATTAGCGACATTTAGTTAAATAAGATAGTGAATTCTCAGATGTTTCCCAGCCAGTGCAAACCTAATTAATTTTTGGTATATTATTTACCAACACAAAACGAGGTCTATATTCCTTTTGCATCTAGTTCTACAGCAAATTAAATAAAACAAAAACACAAGTCCGTTTTCATTCCCTTAAGTGTGAAATAATAGCTCGTCTTATTTTCTTAAAATGAAATCACTGCTTAGAGTATGCATATGGTACAGATTACATACAGGCTTTTTGCATTTGAAGTTCATGTATTTATAGTACTACTTGTCAGTTTTTTGGGATTTATTTATTTTTTACCATGCTTCTTTTCTAAAACAACTATAAAATTTGTTTAGTCCAGTATGGCATCTATTGGGCTTACTTTATAAAATGTATTATGTATGTGTTACTTATTTCTACTTTCTTATGGTTCCTTTCACATCTATAATTAACATAGTTTATCATTTCATTAACCATGTGAATTTCCTTAAACTAGTTAAAGGAAGTCTTTATTAAGCAGAGATATATAAAAATTTAAGTCTTAGTCCATGAAAATGTCTTTTTTTTATCACTGCAAAAGGAACATGTGCTATTTTACAGCTGAGCAGACTCTAAAGTATAGCAGTGGACGTTATTATGATATTGACTACCTAAGTTGGTATTATGATATTGACTATCTAAGTCATGCTCTTCATTTGGCACCAACAAAATCATTAAAGCATTCTCCCTAAATTCAGTAAGGGAGGAGAACTGAATCATCCCCACAACACTTGTATTAGTTATCTGTAGCTTATCAGTATAAAAATACAGCAAATGCTAGATGTCTTGAGAATAAGTCTTCAGATAGATTTGAGAACTGTAGTTTAGGTAATCATGATGTATGTAGTCCAGCAAACATTAAACACACAGGTGCTATGCACTATGTTGTGTGCTAAGGCTCTAAAGATGAGTTAGACACGGCATCTGCCCCTAATAGAGCTTGTAGGACAAGACAAGTAAGGCATGGAGGTTAATGTAATGTAGCAGGGTCAATATGAGGAAATGCATGGGAGAAAATACTCCATAGATTAATAATTCAGAATATTAAATTCAATTCACAGAGTAGCGACTGTTGGGAAGATGGCCTGAGTCCTAGAAGACCTTGTGTGCCTTTAAAAAAAATTGCAGTGTTCTGAATCTCTGAAGAGGAGGACTAACTTTTGGTTATCATTCTAGATAAGTGGTATAAAAGAGTTAAAGGTAGTCAGTACATCAATACTAATCACAATTAAAATAAATTCTTTGAATTTTAAAAAATTGGGAATATATGAAAGGAAAGTTTATTTGCTGACTTCTCGAAACTTCTATCTCTGAACTGAACGGCTGTTCTGAGTAGGTTCTAGGAGACAAGACAAGTGGGTCTAACAGGCTTCATGGTGAAAGTCAGGGTAATAGGCTCCAATTGTATGGTGCAATTGCTTATTATGCCTGTCATTGATTTTCTTTGTTACTTGTTAAACATTACAAACTTTTTGTGATTTCTCTTGAGTTAACATTTAACATTTCAGCATGCTGATGAATTTTTGCCTCTTATTTTTGACCCCCACAGCATTTTCTACACCAGCAAGTCAACTCTTCTCTCCTCATGGTTCCAATCCTTCCACACCTGCTGCGACTCCTGTCCCCACTGCATCCCCGGTCAAGGCCGTCAATCATTCATCAACATCAGCAACTGCTACCGTTTCTGGGATGCACATGCCAAATACTGTCCTTCCTGTGTTCCCGGGACAGGTCTCCTCAGCCGTTCATACACCTCAGCCATCAACACCAAATCCAACAGTTATCAGAACCCCTTCATTGCCTGCAACACCTGTTACATCTGTGCACAGTACAACATCTACTCCTGTCCCTTCAGTTTTTTCTGGCCTAGTTGCACTGCCAGGGCCTTCCGCTACTGCTACCCCAGGCCCTCAGGCCACATCTACACCTCGGGCCACTCCTGCTTCCAATGAAACATTTACTTCTACTTCAGCCCCCTTCACAAGCCTCCCGTTTTCTGCCTCCTCTACTGCTGCTTCTACCAACAACCCAAATTCTGCTTCAATGTCATCAGTTTTTGCAGGTCTGCCCTTGCCCTTGACACCAACATCCCAAGGTTTATCTAACCCAACTCCTGTAATTGCCAGTGGTTCTGTTCCCAGTGTTGCTGGTCCACTTGGTGTAAATAGTCCTCTTTTGTCTGCCTTGAAAGGCTTTCTGACATCAAATGATACCAATTTAATCAACTCCTCTGCTTTATCCTCTGCTGTTACTAGTGGGCTGGCTTCACTCTCTTCACTTCCTAATCAAAACTCTGATTCTAATGTTTCAGCTCCTAACAAGGCCTATACCCCCTCACCCTTTCCCACCTCACAGAGGTCTTCCACTCCAGGACTGGCCATGTTCCCAGGCCTGCCATCCCCCGTTGTCAACTCAACTTCCACTCCCTCGGCTTTGCCTGTACAGTCTCCTCTAGCTACTCCTACATCGTCTTCGACTTCGGTGCCAGTTAGCTGTGGCTCCTCAGCTACCCTTCTTCATGGCCCCCACCCAAGTAACCCAGACCTGCATATTTCATCTACCCCTGCTGTAACGTCACTTCCTGTCATGATTAAAACTGAGCCCACGAGTCCTACTCCTTCAGCCTTCAAAGGTCCATCTCATTCTGTGAATCCTTCTCATGGCACTTTAGGTTTGTCAGGGACTTTGGGTCGTGCATATACTTCCACGTCAGTGCCCATTAGTTTATCGACTTGCCTTAACCCTGCATTATCAGGTCTCTCCAGTTTGAGCACTCCCTTGAATGTTTCAAATCCTCTGTCCTCTATTTCCCTTCCTCCACATGGATCCTCCACTCCCATCACTCCAGTATTCACAGCTCTGCCTCCTTTTACTTCTTTGACCAATAATTTCCCTTTAACTGGCAACCCGCCTCTTAATCCATCAGTATCTCTTCCAGGTTCACTGATAGCCACCTCATCTGCAGCTGTCACATCCGCATCGCTCCCTCACCCCAGTTCCACAGCTGCTGTTCTCTCAGGGCTTTCTGTATCAGCTCCAGTTTCGGCAGCACCTTTCCCCCTCAATTTGTCAACTGCCGTCCCCTCGCTGTTTTCAGTTACTCAAGGACCTCTGCCATCATCAAATCCTTCCTACCCGGGCTTTTCTGTCTCTAACACCCCCAGCGTTACCCCTGCTCTCCCCTCGTTCCCGGGGCTGCAGGCACCATCTACAGTTGCAGCAGTCACGCCTCTACCTGTGGCCGCGACAGCCCCGTCACCAGCTCCTGTCCTCCCAGGCTTCGCTTCAGCCTTCAGCTCCAATTTCAACTCTGCTCTTGTTGCTCAAGCTGGGTATGTGAGTCATTTGGAAACTGGATAAAAATCAGTCTTTATCTAGCTTCATAGTCTTTATAAGTTCATAGTCTTATTTTTAAGTCAAAATCTAGTTGATAATGCTAAATGATATTTTTCTGGTCTGAAACTTTAGTCTTCAAAAAATGTTTTATGATTTTTGACCATGTAAAGTAAATATATAAAATATAAATAAATGCCTTGTCAGGTGATTTTAAGATTTGTATTGGATAATTCATCTTGATGTAAAATAACTGAAGTATTATATGTAAAACATTGACTTAATGAATTCAGAATACTACATAATAGAAAGTAAGTTTTCTATCACTGAGTGGCTGACTTTTATGGTTCCTTCTAACAGAAATTCTAAGATTTTTGATAGATACCTCAAATTAGTATTTGACAAACACAGAAGCAGTAGCTTTTATGTTTTATCTATTCCTCATTGTTTCAGCTTATCATCTGGACTTCAAGCTGCAGGCAGTTCTGTTTTCCCAGGCCTTTTGTCCCTCCCAGGGATCCCTGGGTTTTCCCAGAATCCTTCACAGTCATCTTTGCAAGAATTACAACATAATGCAGCTGCACAGTCAGCATTGCTACAGCAGGTAAGCAGGCACTGTCTGGCAGAAATAAAATGGTAACATGTAACATAGCTTCTATATTGATGACATTGCAAGACCAATTTGTGGAATCCCAATGTTGGTAAAATGACTTAACAGAATGTTTAGAAATTTGATAATTAGTTTTATCAAAATTGGCAAATTCTGCTTCTCTTCTCGGAGAAGAGTAACAAAGGTGGTGCATGAATTGTTCCTGCTTGTAAACTGTAACAACTCAGTGTTTTAATTTTAGAGTCTTTAGATGTGCGGTCTTTATACATAGTATTTAATTTTACCTTGTCTCCTACAATTTAAGCTAAGCCAATGGGCCATTAAAGCCAGTTATTTCTGGGAAACGTATTGACTTTTCCAAAAGAATATGAAATTTTTTAACGACATTTATAGGTATCTCCTCCTCCCTAAGAAGTTTGTGTGTTTCTTTAAAATCTCAAGAGGCCAGCTTATTATCCTAACCCAATGTTACTTCTTTTTTTCCTACTCCAGCTGTACTATAATGTGGCGTGGGCAAAAGCACTACAGACCTTTTGAGTTTGATACTCTGCTTAACTGTATTTCTTCTTTCTGTCAGGTCCATTCAGCCTCAGCTCTGGAAAGCTACCCAGCTCAGCCGGATGGGTTTCCTAGTTACCCTTCAACACCAGGAACACCATTTTCTTTGCAACCAGGCCTGTCTCAAAGTGGGTGGCAGTGAATATATTTTAATTTTGTATTCTCCTTCGGAGCAACAACGGAATTGCCTAAGGACTGCAGCGAACAATCTGACAAATGTGAAGTTGGCCAAAAGTCAGAAGTAAGAATGAGGATAATCCTAGGGAAATTGGGATAAGGGTTTTAAAATCATGATTGCATTTTTTAATGGTTTTAAGTATGAACTCTCCCCCTTTGTAAATATGCTGACAATAAATTGTATGGAGAATAGTATTAAAAAAAAATGTTTGGGGATTTTTCACCTCCTATCTAATGAAATTTTGAGTTGTGTATGTGATCTATGTAGGAAGAATATTAAAGAGGAGCTTGAACTCTTTATAGCCGAATACAGCCTTAAATCTGCTTGTATAGCATCCACTGACAGAGTAATAGTTGTGCCTCAGACTTCTGGGTAGCATGTGGCCCTAGGGGAGTTACTACTCTTGATATGCATGAGTAGTTCCTACAAGCATCATTGGAACTTAGTATTCCATATGTATCCACAAAGGGAAATTGAGACCACCAGTTATTTTTAACTTATGATACTAATCATCATAATATATACTGCTGAATTTAACTCAGTATATTTCAGGTAAGTGAAAATGGTGCTTCATGTAGTCTTTAGAATGACTTTCAGGTGTTTTTGACTAAAAATATATATCCAGAACTCCTTTCTTACAGAAATACAAGTAAGGCTTCTGAAAATATGCCTTCAGAATTTATTTCTTGCTTCAGCAGTATCCAAATGAGGAACATATGATTGACTCTTGGGCCACCTCTATTACTCGTACTATGGAAGCTCTTGGTGAATGTTTACAATCATGGGATGTAGTATTTCTATTTGTATTTAAAGGCAAAACTTATCTAAAAGAATTATGTGACAACAAATAGAGAAGATTTGCTCTGTTAGTAAATATGCAGTGTGTGCTCTATTTAAGAATCTGTGGTAGTATAATATGATTGAATGTCATTAATTTAAGTATAATAACTGCCACATTTGGGAGGGTGGGGAGTAGGGAGAATGATTTCCGATCCTGTGATTTAAAAGTGTAAACTATAGAATCTACTGTAGTACATTTCAGCATCTAGAAGTTTTACTTTTATAAAGATGGTGTCTGGAAGATGTTGCTAATGTATTTTCCTTCAACGAGGGGAACAAACTTTTTAAGTATATTAATAAATATTCCTGTATGGTTAGTTTTTAACAGTTTTTTAAAATAAACTTTATGGATATGACAACTATTTTATAAGTGTTTTATTAAATGCTTGGATAGGCTTTTTAATTTTTTGTATGTGCTAGAGCTAATATATATATATATATATATCACATGCTTATATAACATTTTTGTCTGAATTTAATTGAAAATGCAATTTATACTACTGATTGATCATTACTCTTACTAGTATGGTATGTCAAAATCATATTATAATCTACACTTGAAACAGACTGATTTATGCCTTTAATTGTCTTCAAACACAGAATGTAACCTCAGTTCATTTCTGATGCTAATTGCAAGTAGCTGTCATTTGTTCTTAAGTCTACATTCATAAAACTTTTTAAAAATTATATTGTATTGCTTATATATGTTTTCCATTCATTCAGAAAGAAATTAATCAAATGAGTAATCTTCCTATAGGGATGCTTCTACCGCATTTATTTCTGCTATCCTATGAACTCCTTATCATAGCAAAGAAACCTTATTCTGTTCATCTTTTACATATATTTCTGGCATCTTGTGCATATTGGGCATTTAAAGGTTTATTTGAACATGAAGAGAACATTTTTGGATGACATGATAATTTCTGGGGGCTAGTTTTATGTATCGTACAACGCTATGGTAAGTACTATCAATCTAATTAACCAGATAAAAGAAGCCAAGGTGTAAGTCACAGAGTGGGTCAGTGGTAAATTTGAACCAAGCTTTACCATCGGTACCAGGTAATACCAAGTGCTAGGAAAGTACATAGGAGTCAGATTGAGTACCTTACTGCCTGAGGAAGTCGAGAAGAGATCCTAGTGACACTGATGTCTTAAAGGATGAGTAAGAATTAACATTCTTTATAAAGGTACAATGTGTGACAAAATAGCCTTGTAATAAAATCAGATAACTGGATTGAGTTTGAATGAATTTACCAAGATGGGAGGAACCTGATCAAAAAAACTTATAAACCAAGTTAAGTCGCGGGGCATTTGTTCTAGGGTCAGCATTTTGGAAATTTATTGAAGAGCACTTTGCAAAAAATCACTTAGGCTGCAGCACAGAGGTTGGTCTAGATGTGGTCAACTGAATGGTTATTGCAGAAATCAAAACATGAAAACAGGATTGGCACTATAAAAAGAATTGAAATGTACCTTTCCAGTCCATTTCCAAATGGACCAGAGACAGAATGGGGAGCAGGACAGGCAGATCCACTGAAATACACTGGAGTAGCAGGCAAGACAGGAGAGGTCTGCTGTGCCATGTGGCTTAGCGCCCTGGCTGGGGATCGAACTTGGGCTGCAATTGCTGGCGATAGCTTGATAGCACTGAGACTTAACCCCTGTGCCACCCCTGTGCCATGTATAAATTTTTAAGATTAATTTATACATACAAGAACTAAAGTGTAAGCCAGACGCGTGGGGGGTGAGAGGATTCACCAGAGAGAGTGGAGAGCAGAACAGGCAGATCTACTGAAATATAACTGCTCAGGGGAGTAGTGGGCGAGGCAGAAGAGATCTGCACACCATGTGGGTTGTTCCCTGGCCACCCGGGCATCGAACTCAAGCTGCAGTGGCTGGTGATAGCTTTATAGCCCTGTCTTTAACCCCTGCGCCACCGTCGAGGTCTGGAAATCAAATACACGTATTAAGGGACAACCTCCTGTATATCAAGAGACTAGAATTAAGAATTTAAAAAACATTGCTGCCCTCCTTTCAGGACTTTTCCTAATTGAAGAATGGATAGGGTAGAAACAGAGAAAGCTCTTCATCAGGAGCACATTCCAGCATGCTTTATTCCCCCATCCTCACTCCTCCATGATGGGGGCAGAGGAGAAAATTCCATTCATGTGGCCCACAGATGGTGAGAATTTATCCTCTGAGCTGATGTTGATATTTTAGACAGGAGAAGAGCAGACAGTAAGAATGGACTCAGCTCAGGCCTCCCTGGTGGCACAGGGGTTAATGTCAGCACTATCAAGCTATTGGCAGCCACTGTAGCATGAGTTCAATCCACAGCCAGGGAACTAACCCACATGGTGCAGTAGACTTCTCCTGTGTCACCTGCTGCTCCCCTCAGCAGTGTATTTCAGTAGATCTGCCTGTTCCGCTCCCTAGTCTGTCTATGGTGAATCCTCTTACCCCTCACAACTCTGGCCTATACCCCAGTTCTTGTATGCATAAATAACAATAAATCTTTTTTAAGAATGGACTCAGCTTGTCCTAGGTGTTCCTTACTTCTTGAACTTATTTATGCTTTCTAGGCTGAGATGTTTGGAATATTTTGCAGGAAGAAGAAAAACAGTTGCTTCATCATCTTCCAAAGGGATGTATTTGGTGCAAGTGCCCTGGAGGATCTTTTCAGCTGCCACCAGGGAACAATTATTATTCCAGTTGTTTTGAACCTTGTACCTCAGTGACTGGCAGTGCTAGCATAAGTGGTAGGTGGCCAATAGTAAGGGGATAGGTATTCGGGAATTAGCTAAACTTGCGCTTTTAAAACACTTGCTGCATGGCAGTACAAGTTCATCTGATTTGGAGGGAAACGGGCTTCCCATTGCAGACAGCATTGTCTGGAAACAGATAATTTGCCCGCTACTCTTTCCACAAGAGGTTAGTCCCAAAGTGGCTATGACAAGCCAAGAGAGGCCAGTAAGAAAAAGAGTGGAGTCTATGGACTGATACAACAAAGATAGGAACGGACCCCAAGTTTTCAAAATTGCAGCAAATGGGAGTAGCATTGGACAAGGGAGAGAAGTAGTAGATGCTTTGACATGCCTAACCAGTCATGCACTAATCTCAATTTCCCTTGAAACAAGGGGAAAATATTGTGAAAATGTACCCAACATTCCCGTTTTAGAAAGAAGATAGCTGAGACCTGAGAAATAAGCTCAGCTTCCATTCGTGCTGCTAATAGTCACGATTGATTAATGCCAGTCACTATGCTGAGTATCTTACCTGTGATATTTCTTGGCATTCTCATATAAACAAGTCTAGTAGAGAACAGCATCACTGTGAGTCCATTTCATAGATTTAGACACATAAACAAACGAGGTAAGTTCCCCAATGCTGCAGAGTTAGCTCATGGTAAAGCTTATTATGTCTTGACAGAGTAAATCCAGACTCTGATTTCTCATCCACGATGCCTCTGGCATCATTTCCACATCAAGCCATTACCAAGGATCCATGAGAACAATGCCAAGGAAGGTGTTCAAAAGCAGACTATAACCGACTCTGAACATGCGTGTGCATCTGTTTTCACCTGTGTTTCTGGTCCCCAGCCTCCCCGTAGTTCTAATATTCCATATTTATTATAATTACAAAGTGTGGAAAACAGCCCAAATTATTTCTGTAATTTGAGTTTGTGAAGCAGGCAATTAAGGTTATCAAGTCGTTGGCAAAATTTCCTTGTAATCTGGGGGGTTATTTAAAATGAAGGTTTTAGAATGAAGAAAATAGCTACATGATTGGGAGAAGAAAAACGAGATGAGATGACCTGGGAAAGATCAGAGTTTGTTTAGTTTTCACACAAAATAAAACAACACTAAGTGGAATATTGACTTGAGAAGGATGAGCATCAGGAATTAGAGAAGTGGTGATTTTCAGCATTGGACTAACTCAAAATTGTCCTTGATTTCCAAGTAGCATGATGGAAGGGAGTCTCCTGGACAGGAGTCTGGGGATCTGAACTCAAGAAACAACTTTGTCTTTCGTGAGCTGCTATCTTGAAAGTATTCATTCAGCACAGAGTATCAACTGTGTGCCTGCATTTTTCTAAATGCTGTAGATTCCATGGTAAATGATAAAAAACAAACCAAAAACCTTGTCAGCCTCTTCAATGAGGTTTTAATATGGGGCAGAGTCAGCAAACATTTCTGGTAAATACTGTAATATTGTAAATACTAAATACTATAAATAATATTTTAGGCCTTGCAGATTATGCATGGTTTCTATAACCACAATTCAATGATGCAGATGCAATGCAAAAGTGGCCACAGGCAAACCAGAAACAAATGGAGCTGGTTGTGTTTCATTTAACACTTTATTTATAAAAGCAGGTGGTAGACCAAATTTGGCTAAAAGGCTGTTGTTAGTTAACCCTTGGTCTAGAGGAAGAAAACAAATGTATCCAAATAATGATGCTTGTGGTAACGTGCAAAGGCACTGAGGCACAGAGAACACAAAGTTGTAAAGGGACTGTAGAAGGCCAATGGGACTTTTATTGAGCAAGTGAGGACAGTGTCATGTGAGTGAGGCTAGAAAGAGAGGGAGAGAGACATGGTCTTGCAGGACATGTGGATCGTAGTCTTCACCATACTAAAAACTGGCTGTCATGGGATTATTTTAAGCAGAATGGTGACATTATCACATTTGGGTTTCAAAGATCTCTCACTGCAGTATGTACGTTGAATTGGATGAAACATAAGGATGACTTGTTTGCCCTGTGTACTAGACAGTTGGTTCATTGTGGTGAAGAAAGTATACAAGATTCAAAGAAATGTTGCACAAAATACAAATGGTATAGGAAATTGCATAGTCATATTTTATAGGAAGCAACACCATCAACAGGTCACATTCTTTTGAATGTTCTCTATGAACAAAGGCAGTGTGAACCGATGAAAGGAACCCTTTTGTTTATGTGAACAGGCTTCCTTCGCCAGGGTAACTGCTCCTTGGGGTGCTCACTACACAAGAGGAACTGCTCTCCTGCTCTCCTTCACTCTGCCTCTCTCCTCTTCCCCTCTCTCAAGCACATTGGGGTTGCTGCCTGGAGCCCAGGCTTGCTCCTAACCCATGAAAATTTGCCAAGTATAAAAGCTTCTCAAGAATGAGATGGATCGTGGGTCATCCTCCCCCGAGAAGCAGGATAAAGAGAATTTAGTGGGTGAGCTCCTTTTTCCTGCCTTACTCTTGTTATGTATATAAAGCAATGGAAGTGTGGCATGTGGCATTATACAGAGTCAGAGTTCAGAATAAGCACTGGGTGTATTAATATTTACTGAGATTTTTTAATTTATTGCTTATTCTAGTTTTATATGCTTTCAATCAGCAGTCTGTAACTTGCTTTTTCTTCAGTTTTAGATAGCCTTTGTGTTTATTGTTGCATTATTTTTTTTTGCATTAAATAGCAAACGTGTTGAGCATGCTGAAATTTATCCATTTTAAAATATCACCTGATGATGCTATGATTAAAAAGAAAAGTTGATTTGAGTTGCCTTATACCTGATGGAGAAAAGTTAAGAAAATTAGCTTAGCCAAAGGCTATTATCTACAAAATCATTTTGTTTGCATTTTCTTTCTAAATCTTACAATAATGTTGAGGTGGAGTCTCTTATAATCTCAGTTTTGAATATGAAGAGTGAGTCTTAGAGAGTTTAAAAATTTGTTGAAGTGTCAGAGAGCGATGTTGATGATGATGATGAGTATGTAACTTAACCCAAACCCTACACTTTATATTGCCAAAGGAATCATAATATAAGCTAGAAACAGAGCACATGAGCCATTACCAATCTGTAAAAGATACATTTGGAGATTTCTCTGAATTGGAAAATAAACTCCTCTCTTGAAGTAGACATTGGCATCACTGATATGCTGAAGACAGTAAATATCATTTGGAAGTGCAAGTGGGAGATCTCTTCAAGATCACCCTTCAATAATGAAGGTTGATATATACACAATGAATGTGGCATATATACACAGCCATAAAATACTCAGCCATAAAAAAGATGGAATCTTGCCATTTTTTGATATGTATAGGCCTTGAGGGAATTATGCTAAGTAAGGAGGACAAACACCTTATTACTTCACTCATTTGTAGGATCAAAAGAAAAGCCAAAGCAATCAAACAAACACAACAAAAACACACAAACAAAAACCCAGAGGGAACATGCTGCGGAGGGAATAGTTTGGTGGTGGATGGTTACTGGACTGTAGTATGAACTGAAACTTATGTTCTGAACTCATGTTAACTCAATAAAAAGAGAGAAAACACACACACACACACACACAAAACAAACAGAACAAACAGAATAGGGTTTATATTTTATAACTTCCGGTTTCATTTGCTTTGGGCAGTTTATAAATGATATGATATCAATCATCCTGTGAGATTTGTGGGAAAAGCTTGTCCCACCCGCCTCCATCTTGGACACATTAACAAAACATTTTTCAGTCCTTCAAAATGTGTAGGAATTTCCATTCACGAACGTTGAGAGGATGAAGCAAACAACCGAGTCCTTGTTATCAGCTCCTGGAGGCGCCTGTGGAGCAGAGTGTCTTTGGTTTGTCCCAGATTTCAACAGCTACTGGTGTGCCTCTCTTCCTAACTCCAAGTTCAGCAATGTTACAAGGGTAGTTCAGAGTCTATATAATGCTAGAAATGAAGGCTTTTTCCAGAATTCTATTAACCATTTGCTAGCATGTCACTATTTCCTAGCCTTTGAAATTCTCTCACCCTTTTCTTATTTACTTTTTTTTTTTAAGAGTTAAAGTGAAGTTAGTTGAAAGCTTGATCCTCTAAATTTTAGCAGATCTCTACATTAATATGGAAAAGACTCTTCCTAAGGAGCTTGTTAAAACGCAGCTTCCTGGGTCTCATCTCTAGAAATTCTAGGCTAGGTAGGTGCAGGATGGAACTGAGATTTTGCCTCCAAATGTGTTCCCAAGCTGGTGAGGTTGCCAGAACAAGACCACACTTTGAGTAATCTGGTATTTCTTTTGAACAATGTGGTGTTTTCCTGAACATTGTTCATTGATACACACTGTGTATATTTCAGAGAAAAAGACAAGAGGGATGATGATGTATTGGTGATAGGGAGATAGCATTTGCCCCTAGGATTTCACTTTAGATTTTATGGTTGGTATTTCAAATGCTTGATTCTCTGGAGGTGAACAGGAAGGAAGTTTTTAACTCTACATCCCCAGGTCCAGGGAAGGTAACTGATCTCATTCCCTATTCCATTCAATTTTCCCCTGGGAAGCACCTGGTCTTTCCCTCCTCTGGAAACACAAAGGACTCTTTCTAAAATTGACATGATTAACTTCTTACCTTAAAATTGCTTTTGAACATTTAAAGGTATCAAAAAAATTACAAACTCAAAACAACATAAGCCATCACATCTCAGAATTAACCACAGCCAAAATTTTGGTTCATTTTTTTCCAACATTTTTTCTAATACATATATTTCTACTAATCTTCTACTGTCCTTTTTGCATTCCACTATTCTTTTCCTTTTCACAGTATACCATAGTAATTTTCCATGTTTATACAAATTTAAAAATATTCAAATTTTGTATAGCTATGTTCAGGGTGTTTTTTTTTTTATCACTTTTAATAACACCACCATGAAAATGTTTGGGCATGAAGCTTAAGAATTAAAGCATTTGTACTTGGTGCTATTGGTAGTGCTATTATTTCAGACAGGAAAGGCAGGGTGGAAGAGAGGAGAATGTTACAAGAAAAGAGTTTTATTTCTTCTCATAATGGTATGGAGGTGAGGGCAAGGTAAGGCAGCTTGCAAGAAAGAGAAAATGCAAGGGCATATGGTCCTCAGGTTAATTGACTCTCTTGAGAGAAAGCAGAATCTCCTCTGATGGATCATTATTTCCAGACCAGAAACTTCAAACAGGTCAATAAATCTGTTATGTTGCTGAGCATGAGAGTTCAAAGCATCTAGTGTGCCATTCATTTCATCCACTCAGTGAATGAATTCAGAATGGACTGTGGATCAGGAGATAGAGACATAAAAATAAAATGCCCGCTCTCAAAGTGCTGAATATCAAGAGGGACGTGAACTGAAAAATGACAATGTACTATGAAAAGTGGTGACAGGGGATGTAATAGAAACTCAAAGAGGATCATCCAAAGACTGGGGTGAGAGAGAATGATGTGAGCCATGCCAGGTGACTGGAGAGACACAAAACCCCCTGCAGAGGCAGAAAGGTGCCTGAGGACTTGGGAGCCTCCTCCACTGTAGTAGGTGAATCTGTTCACTTGGCATGTGGCTTAGTCACCTAGACCCAGAGGTGAGAGACTGACCAAAGTCTGCCACTTGGAAAGCAATTAGGGCTGTGCTGAGGAGCATGGACCCTGCTCTCTGAATGGCTGGCCTTGCTGCCGCATTTGAATGATGGAGATGGAGCCTCATCGGAATTCATTGCTAGGAGCCTGCAGAGCAAGATGGTCCTGGGGAGGGAGCTCCTGAAGTGTCAACAATACCTAGATTTTTAATGGGGAGGGGAGGACAAGTCATTAAAAGCTTTGTTTTTACACCTTTGTGAACATTCTGTTTCAAAATATATCTTAAATATTTCCTTTTTTTTTTTTTTTTTTTTTAGAGATTTATTTATTTATTTACACAAGCACTGGGTACAGTCAGAAGTGCGGGAGGGTGAGAGAATTCACCAGAGCCAGAGGGGAGAGCAGAACAGGCAGACTGACAAGCACACTGCTGAGGGGAACAGCGGGTGTGGCAGGAGAGGTCTGTCGCTCCATGTGGGACCCTTGCTGGCGGCCAGGGATCGAACCGGCGCTGCAGAGGCTGCGGGCAGCTTCGCAGCCCTGCACTCAACCGCTGCGCCACCAGGGGAGGCCCCTTAAATATTTCTTTTTAAAAAAAGATTTATTTATTTATGCATACAAGAAATGGGGTACAAGCCAGAGTTGCAGAGGATGAGAGAATTCACCAGAGACAGAGTGGGGAACAGAATAGACAGACTGACTGAAGCACACTGCTGAGGGGAGCAGCCGGGGAGGCAGGAGAGGTCTGCTGTGCCATGTGGGTCACCTCCCTGGTGGGGATCGAACTTGTGCTGCAGTGGCTGCAGATAGCCTCACAGTGCTCAGACTCAACCCCTTGCACCACCAGGGAGGCCCTATATCTTAAATATTTCTAACGACTAATCAAATGGTAAAAAGGAACTCAGTAAAAAATGTGTTATAAAATTACCTTAGCGACCAAGCATATCCTTCTGCAATTGAGATTGTACATCTGATAATTCAGCAAAACCTGTGATTATGGGATTTTTGCAGCTACTGGGCTAGAGGTAATGGTGAGATCATCCAGTTCTGATTTAGTAGTTTTGCACCAAACGTTTGATATCTCCTTTTTAAGGTTCTAAAACTTCTCTGAAAGAACTTATAAAGCCTATTGCTTTAGGAGTTAGAAACCCTCAGAGATAGGGCTTTTGTTGAATGTTCTCTTCAAAATTTGGTTCTTGCACATACAGAGGCTGCCTTACCCAGGTGAACCAGAGTACCCACCACTGGAGTCTTAGAATCCTATCTTGTGAAGCAAAAAAATTCAAAGCAAACGAAATACTGTATTCATTATCAAAGCAAAAATTGCACCAAAGTTGAACAGTCAAGGGAGATTTTATTAAGAGTGAAGCCTGAATGCCATCTGAACAAAGCACTGAAACAAAGGTGGGGGTTTCAAGGGTGGAAACAGAGGACCTATGGGGTGACTGTGGGCCATCCTGGCTTTGCTGATAGATGTCTCACATCTTCATGTCAGGTGGTAGTTTCACTTGGAACAAGGTGCCTCTGAAGTTAGTCTGTCTTCTTATCTGAGACTGAGTGACAAGGACAGGGATGCTCTCTTCTTTAATGATGACATCTCGAAGGAGTGGGGGGCTTTGAAAAAAGCCTGGGTTGTAGCGCTGGCACAAGGCCTGTAAAAAGATTTGTATTTCAAAGGGGCAGGAAATCATTTATAATGGCAAGTGTTCTCAAGAAGATGTTCTAAGACAAGGAAAATGAGTGGCCTAGAATCAGGAAGAAACTGTTTAGTCAGGCTGAGGAAAAAGTTAGGATTGTCTTGATGAAAATACACCTTGAGGAAAATCCTAGGCAGTGACCTGGCTAACTAGAGGGCCTCAGGATAT